CCTGGTTTTCTCTAGTCTGCTCTTCACGAACTTTGGTTAGACGTCGAAGTATTATTGAAGCTAATATTTTAGACACTATATTGGTCAAACTAATTCCTCTGTGATTGTCACAAGAAGACTTTTGTCCTTTCTTATAGACTGGCACAATCAGTGATTGAGACCAGTCAGATGGGATTACGTCCAGTTCCCAGATTCTACCTAAGACCTCAGTCAATCTCGCTGCTAATACTGGACCACCATCCTTAAAAATCTCAGGGGTAAACCTGTCAGGCCTGCTGCTCTCCCACGCTTCAGATTTCCTATAGCTTTTTCAACTTCGTAAAGAGTCGGAGGACTTACATTAATTTGCCTTTCAGGTAGATTGGAGATCGTGGGAAACCGAAGTGTGGCTGAAGGCCAGTTGAACTGATCCCTAAAGTGTTCTGTCCATCGTTCCAATCTCCTGGGTTGAGAATGAATAATATGTCCATCTTTCTCTGAGATTGTTTCGCTAACAGTTGGGTTCCTAATACCGGTTTCCTTAACAAGTCTGAACAGTTGCCTGTGGTTAGCTATTGCCGCTGCCTTTTCCATCTCTCTTGCTTTCGCTACCCACCACTGTTCACGATCTTTGCGTAGGCTTCTTGTCAGCTTACGCTTAAGCTGACTTCGCTCTTCGTTATGTTCAGAGCCAGATGGAATGGTTTTCGAGCATCTATCAGGGCAGTCGACGCTGCTGAGATCCAGTGTTTCTCCCTAACCTTGTAGTTTACCGTACTTGCAGACATCACTGCTGTTTCTACAGCTTTTCGGATGTCATTCCACGCTGCCTCGGGGTGGGCATCACTTACATGGCTGCCTAACTGTTTTTCTAGTTGTTCCTGAAATATACTCTTAGCTTTACTATCATTAAGTAGGACTCTAAGGGGTTTCCTTGCAGCGTTTTTCCTACGTCCAGTAAGACGTAGATAAATACGCGCTCGCACTAGAGCATGATCTGAGTCTAAGCATGTGCTCCAGAATGAGCGACAGTCTTTTATTGAGCTCCTCCGTCGGTGGCTGATAGCGATGTGATCTATTTGGGTCCAGCGTTGGGACGAATTAGGGGGTCGCTATGGTAAAAGATGTTTTTCCTTATGCTTAAAGTTAGTGTTTGCAAGAAACAGGCGGTTATCTGAGCATAGCTGCAACGGACGGTCGCCGTTATCTGTTCTTTGAGCCGCGACACCATAAGATCCATCCAGGTGTCTTTCCTTTTCTCTTAGTTTACCTATTTGAGCATTAAAGTCACCAGCCACTATTACTACATCTGAACGCCTAGCTTTTCGGAGGAGGTCGAAAAGCTTTCTGTAAAACTCATCTTTTACATCATCTGAGCTGCAGTTAGTGGGAGAGTAGGCAGAGACGACGAAGAGGCAACGACGAGTGTCCCTATCTTTCCGAGTCCTTACTGTTCCGTTCAGTCGGACAGCGCACAAACGACTGTCTACTGGGATCCAGTCTAAGAGAGCTAGTTCTGCCCTAGGACTCAATGCTATACCTATACCGGCGAGGCCACAGGAAGCAACACCAAGGCTTCCAGATACACGAAGCGTAAATCGAGTTGGTTCGTTACTTTGACATGGTGCGGTCAAATGAATGACACTATTTGGATCCTGTGTGCGCGTTTCGGAGACGCAGCACACATCGATGGTGCGAGATTCTACAGTCCTAGCTGAGGAGGCCTATTGTCCTACTTATTAGGAGGTATAGGATGGATTTGAATGTGACCAACTTGGTCTCGTGTGTTGTTACAGGTATGAGGGCTGATGTCACTTTTCGGTTGCCCACACCGTGGAAGGGTATTTCTTAAGGAACCTGAAAAGGTGATCAGATTAGTGTTGGTCTTAACGACCTGGGTGTGTGACCGCAGAACCCAAGGAACAACTGCTTGAGGTCGGTCACATACGGCCTTTTTGTGGGAGGTTTCCAACGTGTTTGCTCCGTTCTTCAAAGGATCTTACCGCCGGAGACGGAAATCCGTGAGGTAAGGTGAGGTGTGACATTTTTAGGGTCAACCTTTCCTAACCCCTTCCTTCTTTGTGAGAAGGCAGCATCGCTGTAGATGCTGGTTGTCCGAGGGAAACACCTTACTGCTGTCATACCTCTGTACAGTCAGCAGTACGACTTCGTCCTCAGACCTTGAGTTGCTGCTTTTAGTCTTACCGTTCTCCAATGGATCTGCCTGTCATGGTAGAACTTGCAGGAACATATGTTCCAGTCAATATAGCTCGGTTGGGTCATCACGATAGGCAAGCCCGACCACCACGTCAAGGTAGCAGCTACGGTCGGGATTTAAACCACAGGGTTACAAAGAACCAATGGATTTCTTCAAGGTCTATTGAACTGATGGATTCTCCTAAACTCATCCCATCAGGTTCTGAACACAATGAAGAGCGTAAAGAAATCAGATCTAGGTTAAGCAAAAGTCTAAGGAACGACCGTGAGCAGTGGTGGGCAACGAAAGCAAAAGAGATGGAAATGGCGGCGGCTATAGGGAACACAAGACAACTCTACAGACTAATAAAAGAAACTGGAATTAATAAGTCAAGTGTAAGTCAGACTATTTCAGAAAAAGACGACACTCTCATCTGCTCCCAGTCCAGACGTTTAGAACGATGGGCGGAACATTTTAAGGAGCAGTTCAGTTGGCCTTCAGCTACTCTACAACTACCCTCTATTCCCAGACAGTGAGAATGGAACAATGAAGTAGGTCCCCCAACTCTGGCTGAAGTTGAAAAGGCTATAGTTAATCTGAAACGAGGAAGGGCAGCTGGTCGAGATGGATTGGTCCTAGAGGTCTTTAAGGATGATGGTCTAGTTTTAGCGATTAGGTTGACTAATATTATAGCTAAAATCTGGGAGTTAGACGTTATCCCATCTGACTGGTCACAATCACTTATCGTCCCAATATTTTAGTAAGGGTCAAAATCATCCTGTGACAACCACAGAGGGATTAGTTTAACTAATATAGTATCTAAAATACTAACCTCGATAATTTTCGGACGCCTAACTAAGACTCGTGAACTGCAAACACGTGAAAATCAGGCTGGCTTCAGACCTGGTCGTGGCTGCATCAACCACATATCCACCATTCGTCAGGTTCTAGAACACATTCATACTTATCGGCGTCCGACAATAGTGGTCTTCCTTGACTTAAAAGCAGCGTTTGACTCTGTTGACCGAGAGGTTCTGTGGCAGTGTCTGTCATTGAAAGGTGTACCTCAAAAGTACATAAACCTTGTGAAGGCTCTCTACTCGAACACTACTAGTCGAGTCAGAGCTTATGGCGAACTGTCATCTGCTTTTGCAACCTCAAGTGGTGTCCGTCAAGGCTGTCCATTTTCTCCATTTTTGTTTGACTTCATCATAGATCTACTGATGGAAATAATGCTCTCATCGATTGAATTCTCGGGTATTGATCTCCTACCAGGAGGTTCACTTATTGACTTAGAATACGCAGATGACATAGTCCTGTTTGGTGAAGACGCTGATAAAATATAGTCTATCGGTAGCACTGAGCAACAATGCCAGAATGTTTGGGATGCGCTTTTCTCCCTCTAAATGCAAGTTGTTGCTTCAGGACTGGTCTGCGTCAACACCTGAACTAAGAATAGGGGGTGAAGTAGTCGAACGCGTTGACAACTTCACTTATCTTGGAAGTCTGATCAGCCCTAATGGGTTGGTGTCTGACGAAATCTCAGCACGGATTCGAAAAGCTCGTTTGGCCTTTGCCAACTTACGTCATCTATCGCGAAGGCGAGATATCCGTCTATCAATTAAGGGATGAGTATACTGCGCGGTAGTTCGTTCCGTTCTATTATACGGCTGCTAAACATGGCCATTAAGAGTAGAAGATATTCGTAAGTTACTAGTGTTTGACCACAGGTGCCTTAGAAATATTACTCGCATCTGCTGGGACCACCGGGTAAGTAATAGTGAGGTTAGACGCAGGGTATTAGGGAATGATGCTAAATCGGTTGATAAGGTTATGAGTCTTCATCGACTGAGATGGTTAGGCCACATGCTGCGTATGCCTGAACACCGATTACCACGACGCGCAATGCTAACCGGTGTTATGGATGATTGGAAGAAAGTTAGGGGCGGCCAAACCAAAACGTGGCATCAGTGCTTGAAGTCACTAACTTCTGGTTTGAGCCATGTTGGGAGATTCAGACTGCCTGGTTGGGGTCCGCGTGACTATCGTAACCAATGGTTGGAGATTCTTGGTGACATGGCTCAGAATCGATCACAGTGGCGTCGGTGTATACACTCTCTGTCTTCCTTTAAGCTAAGAGATTAAAATCGCTTCATATCTTTCTTTCTAGGAACTAATTCTATCTTCCTGTACTATCTCCTTATATGCAATCTTTCTTCCATATATTACCACCACTGAATTAACTACTCCTATGAATCCGGTGTTCATCTTGTTGTGCTAATGCGGTATGGCAACTTGGACCGATGCATATACGTGCCTGGTCCTACGTTGCAGCTGACTGACTGACTACGGTCGGGATACATAATATCGTACACTCGTTTGTCTTTTGTGTTCCAAATCTTTGTTGTACCCTGACGTTTTTTTTCATTCGGTATCTCTTATAGTTTTGACACTACGAAGTTACGCTAGTGTGCGCGTCTCTGAATCTCAAAGATTCACTTATGAAGAATGATTATAAACTCTTCTTACTTTTAATGTTTTAAACGTTTTTTATATGTAATCACTTAAACCCCAACTCAATAAGATAAGTTGAATTAATCAGATTCGTCGTCATTTGTCTTCGGACGTCTATTGTCATGGTAATGTTTGATAATTTTTATGGGATTGAAGATAATTAATATGCCTGATAATAAGAAGGCGTAGTTGAAAAAAATTGGTTAACATTTGAATTTTTATTTTTAATGTGGTTATTTATAATTAGATACTTAAAAAGAAATTGATTTATTCATAATTCTTATCATAAAGCAGTTGTAAAGTTTATTGGCTAATTGTCTGGAATGGTACTTTTAGTATGTGTTGTCTCATCTATTTCCATCAAGCTTATCTCATTATCGTATCTACAATTCTCAGTGGGTGTTATGTATACTTCATTAAAACTTGTATCTTCTGGAATACCATTTTTCGATGTGTCATTAATTGTAACATTATCAATCATTTGATTATTCACTGACATGTCTGACCATATTTGTTCTGATGGTGATGAAGACGATATCAAGACACTGACAATTTTTACTTGTGATGATCTAGTTTCTGATTTTGGGTCTACATATCGGACATCCGATATATGTCTTTGTTTTATTGTTGTCGTCGTTGTAATCTTGTTTGCTGTTGATTGTACATTTTGTAATAATACATCATTATTATTACTGACGTCATCATAATCTGGAGCTGTATTTTGATCATTACATAGTTCCAATTCAACAACTGTTCTACTTTTACTTGTATCGTGATTGTACACAGCCACTTCTGGACGTTGTACTGATGATGTAGTATTATGTGCTGCTTTATGCGAATCTTTTGAGTGATATTTCTTCTGAATTTGATTAGTTCGATCATTGTAACCCTGATTTCTGTTATTTTTTTTGTCAGAGTTTATTAACAATAAGGAATTGGATAAGCTGTCAACATTCTTCTCATAAATGTTCAACTTTTTCTTTTTCCTCCCATTATTTTTGTCGTCAAGAATTCTCTTTACTAATTTACTATCACTGTTACTCTTAAAAGTTAATTGGTTATCATTGATGTTATTATCTAAAAACCATTCATATGGTAATAAATTTGATTGTGTTTTATTTGATAAACGTTCATTTGTTATTTTACGCCATATAGATGTTGATAATGATGTAGACTGTTGATATTTATGTTTACCTTGAGCATTTTTACGATCTCTCATTGTACATGTTATGAATGGAATTATAACAATAGCGAAACCAGTTGTAAATGCTACTAGTGTAACAATTATTGCATGTAACATATCGTATTGTTCAGTTGAATCTTCATTTAAAACTGTTTTTTTATAAGACTGATATTTATCTCCTAATACTAGTTAAATAATTAGAAAAGACAAAACATCAGTCATCTTTATAGACGCTTTTATATTTCTCGCCACTTTGTATTTTAATTAATCATACAGATTAAAGCCTAACAATTGGATTGCTATGTTCTACCTAGTTATTCTTACATAGTTTAGTGTGATTTCTCAGAAGAATCCTAAATAATAACCAGAAAGATTCTCAATTTAGATTCAGGTAGCACATTTTATATAGAAGCCTACGAAACATTGATGTATTTACGTCCATGGATGATTATGTAGATAACTAATGACTGTTACAATATTTATATCAACAGTGTTGTATAAAGTATGATATAAAAATCTAATCCATTGTTGTGTTGATCAGTTTTCTATGCTGAGATGTGAAGATTTATTTGATTTTGCTTTTCGCACTTTTATTCTTACAGGGATAGATTGTACATTCAGGCTGATATAATGTGTAGACATTTAAAAACCTACCTTGTCCGATATCGATACAAATGAAATATCTACATTTTATAACTTCTAAGTCGAATGAATGTATCTTGTTCTCTTAATATTAAATTTTATAAATAAATTACAACTTTTTATGTCAACTATGTAAGTGTCCCCTGACCGTTGTTGCTACCTTGACGTGGTGGTCGGGCTTGCCTATCGTGGTGAAGCAACTGAGCTATACTGGCTGGAACAACCGTTCCTCAAGGTCCTACCATGCCAGACAGGTCGGTTGAAGAGCGGTAAAACTAAAAGCAACAAATCCAAGGTCCGAAGGCGAAGTCGTACTGCTGACTGTACAGAGGTGTGACAGCAGTAAGGTGTTTCCTTCAGACAACCAGCATAATAGAGATGCTGCCTTCCCAAAAGGAGGGGTGGGATTAGAAAAGGTCGACCCTAAAAATGTCACACCTCGCCTTATCCCACGGATATCCGTCTCCGACGGTAAGGTCTCAACAAGTACGGAGCTAACACAAAAATTACTCATAAAAAGGTCGTGTGTGACCGACCTCAAGCAGCTGTCCCTTGGGCACTGCGGTCACGCTCTCAGGTCACTATGACCACCTCTAATCCAATTTCCTTTTCAGGTACCTCCAGCAGAACCCTTCCACGGTGTGGGCAACCGGGAAGTGATAACCGCCCTCATACCTCTAACAGCACTCAAGACCACTGTATGTAAGTGTCCCGACTACGAAAGGCAACATGAATTCGCAGTCAAATAAACACCAATTAAGAAATATTGACATCTAAAAATACGGCACAGTGATAACAAGGGAAGTTTAGTAATAAAAAAAGGGATAGGGTAAAGTTATGTGTCTAATAGCTTTTAATAAGTTTCCCATTCATTCATTTAACTTCTCATAGTTCAAGTTATAAGTAAATGAAATGGTCTACGTAATCGATTAATAAACAACGCAATTAATAAGAACAATGCTAGTTAAAAAGCATTGATAGCAATAACATTCGATTTAAATTTACCTTCTTGAGGTGCAACAAGCTTCTTAGTATCACAGCGTTCAAACTGAATCCACTCACAGTTTTCACAGCTTTTTCTTGTCCTCATCCGTACAGGATACGACACATGCTCTACAGTTACACATTCTGACCAAATAGCCCATTCGAGCGAATCCACTAAAATTAGAGAGAAATAGTATGAGTAGTAAGATAATACACCTTATCTAAGTGTGGTTTTATTCACAAATATTGGTTGTTCAATAACTGAATATTTTCAGTCTGGCAATAAATATATCAAACCCACTGCTATAATTTAACAGATGATTTTCAGGCCCGATCGTAAGCAATGCGTTGAAATTCAATGACGAACATCTTAAAACCTTTGGATAACTTTGACCACGGAGTGACGTTAGCTAGATTATCAAAGAAATTAGATGGTATTTGACCTTTAGATACTAACTGATTCTGAAGAAAAATAATTACTGGTGAAATGATGCATATATATATCAAAAACAGTTTTTGCTTACAAGGTTTTTCTATGTCAAGTTGTTCAACTTCGACTGATCTCTTCCGATATCTAACTTGATTTAGCCGTTGTTGTAAGCAATTTGTTTCACTAATTTCCAGTTCACATGGAACTGTTTGTACACTGTTTTCAAACCCACCATAACATAAGCTTGTATTATGTATCTGTGTCATTTCGCTGACAGGCGAATTAAATTCATTAATGCATGTTCTAAATCGACGTTGTACTCCTCTTGGTCGAGCACAAGGTTCATTTTTTGAACATTTACTCCATTCTGACCAACAACTCCAATAACCTGTTTGAAAATATATCCACAAAAAAAATAATCATGATTCTGAATTTCATGTAGGATTATCCTCTGAGTTTAAAACATGAGTCAAACGTTGGTTACTATATTCTATGTTACTAGTAAACATAAAATGAGTTAAAATACATCCAAATCCGGTTTCTGAACTATAAAGCTAGAACTTCATTATGAGCAACTAACAAGTTGTGAACAAAAACTAGTTAAACATTTCCAGTGAATAGTTATTAGATATTTAATTTTAGTTGCATGTATACGTGATGTATATTTAAATGTCATAGTCAATCGAAGAGGTAACCAGAACATTCCAACCAGTCAGAATTAGTATTTTATGATTTGTTTCCGGTATTTACAAGTCTTTTTCGTAAACAAAAATGACTGACTTACTAGTAACTTGTGGGAAATGATTTATAAATGTGATTTTTCATAATGGTAAATCGCGTTAATTAAGGAGACATAGTATACGAAACTTTCTAGTGTATCGGTAGTGTAAATATCTAACTTTAATTGATGCATTATGCTGAACAACCATCTCATTGTGTTTGCATGCGTGCCTATCTCACACTTGACACGGTTGAACCCCACTGATCACTGCTTTCCACTGGATCCCAGTTCAGTGGTTTAGAGGTTATGTGTTCGTGTGCAAGACTGAAGGTCCTGGTTTCGATTCCCGTATTCAAGATCATAGATGGGTACTGCTGAGAAGTTGCCTAAATTTGATGCGTTCGTGATTTCAATCAACTTAATAACCGAACACCAAAAACTCAGGTCTTTCGACCAGAAGAGACTCATCATTCCATGTTATCTATAAAGTGAACAAAAATCTACCGCGTACAGTACACTTTTGTGATTTTTGGATTGTTGAAACTTTCAATGAACACTCTGAAAGGCTAGAATTATGTATACAAAAGAAGTTCATTCAACTTTTCATTTCCATTACCTCTAATTCTCAAAGATCACTAATCGTCTCTTAATACATTGACTTTTTATCAGTAATTAATTTACTTCTGTTACCATGTTCTTTCTGATTGCATTTCAATTTCAAAAGTTATCACAGCAAATAACTCATTTATGTAATAAGTGATTTTTGTCTAAATTTTTCGAGATTTTTTATTAATATTCAAAATCTTATCAACTACATATTCAACCTTTAAATGTGAATAACATCCTTACCATTCAATCTATTTTTCTTCTGTTTCTATATCTGAGAAATTATTGTTATCCTCAACCCTGGATATTATTGATTATCATTGGAGAAGAATGTATATACTTATGATTGTACAACTGTGAAAAAGAAGAAAACTTTTCACTAAATCCCTCTGCTTTTTATTTAATTTCTCAATGAGTGTTCTCTAACTATTCAGTTTCTAGACAAATTCTTTCTTTAAATGAAAAATAACAAACTGAATATTTTTCCCTAAAATTTTACCTGTGCATGATTGCAAGTTACATAGTTCATGTTCTATCTCGTAATCATTTTTAGTAAGTCTATCCATTGTGTTACGCAATAAAAACGGTTTAATTCTTTTACGATATCTGCTACCACCGCCACATGGTTGTGAGCATTCAGTCCATGATGACCAATCATTGCTTACACTTTCTGACAAAACTGGTAGGAATTTTTCAAAATTTTCAAATGATTTATCTGTTGAGTAATACACAATAATATAAATATACCAAAGTTATCATAGGTGAAAATATTTTTAATAGGTAATAAACTTTAATGACCAAATGGTTAGATATAAATACTTATACACTATTTACCATTAATTGATCGCTGAGTAATGACCAGTGTCATTAGTGTTGATCGAATTTCATCGATTAGGTTTCAATGTAGCCACTAGTTTAAGTAACTTGACATTGCATGCACTATGCTGAAATTTAAGATGGTGGTTGGTGGTAGATGACAATACCTAGTTTTCGTGAAGTTGAGCACTCGTCAGTAAGGTTTACCTGTATTGATGAGAGACTAATTAATTTACAGACAAAGCTGCATAAAGTAGTCTCGTTATTCAGTCGAAGGATTTAGTATACTTATTTAAGTTAAAAAAATTTTAAATCCTGATATCCTTAATACCTGAACTATTATGGTATCTTCTTGAGCCATAATTTGAACAATTAAATTTTCAGCTAAAACAGACCTCTTCACTAAGTCGTCTTGTTATTTTTTCTCAATTAGTGTTGTTGTTGCGTATACTGATTAAATGATCATTTCTCAATATATGACAAAATTGACCAATGAACCTATAACTTATGGATAGCATCCAATTATTCTAAACTTTTTGCCATGATATTGATGAAAGCTTTTTTGGATCTATTACACAAAATTAGAAATACTAAGTTGTTTTTTTTGTACAATATCATTCTTGCATGATTCTATCAAGTGTTTTTAAATATGCATTTATCTTAAAGTTGACTGAACATATTCCCGTTTGTCTGGTTCACTTTTAATATTTCAACATACGGTAATACAAGTTTCTCTTAGTTAAATAGCTTCAATAGTCTAGCTACGTATAAGTGAACGAGATGAGGATAAAATGAGACGGTATGTATACACATACAGCGATACAATGTGTATTACATCGAAATGAATCATTGTTCGTTTACCATACTCCATCCTAACATAAAAGTCGACTTATATGAGAGATTCTAGTTTCACTCCTTTGATTTTATACCGAAATGTCTTTTGCTGATTTTTTGTCTATTATAATACAACCGAACAAGGTTGAAAATCCTCACCAATCACTGTTTGTCACTGACATTATCACTAAAACTGTACTAGTCATATCATTTAGCCTTGACGGAATCGATATTACTGTTTGCTATCCTGTTATCTGTCTAATCTAATGACAATATCTTTGAAGTAATCGAGTTAAATATACTTTTCCGACTTAGGGATATGACTGACGTGAAGTGCCTTTTTATAAGAAAATCTAGGTGTAAACAAAGTTCGTGGTAACAGACTTCACTCGATTTCTACGTTCATCCTTTTTATTAGGCTGAATATTAAGTGTCAATTGATCACCTACTACGGAGTATTAGAAACTTCATTACTTAACTAAATTACTCTGATGTCACTATTTTAGGTTTACGTACTCTTTTGAAACCAGAATAATCATATTTCAAGTTCAGTAGGATGACATAGTTTTGCTAGTAATAAACCATATACTATTAGATTTGTTTCAACTGAAATCCACTCACTATAATTTCACATATGAACTTATGAAGACTGGTTGAGAGATAAGTAAATAAGCTCACGGCAAGTCAAATTGAATCAGTGAGTATCGTTGGCACCCACACTCGTATTCTAGAAACTAAGCAATGATTTACATTGTGCCTTTTTGCTACTGGGTTCTGTGTTTTGATTTGATCTGTGTTAAAATGTAATGTTAAGTGATCGCATGGTGAGGCATCAATGGTTCTACCCCACAACAGTACATCATAAGGATTATTTGCAAAAAGTAAGTGTGATCACTTTCTGTGGGTACAACCTTAACAGTAATAAAAGAAAGTTATGAAAAGGTATGTAATAAAACTTATTTATTCCGAAATTGTGACTTCTTATCATTGCAATAATGAACAACTATCGGGATGATCGCACTAAAACTACTAGACAGATACATATTCATTCTGCATAAAAATGTCAGAAAATAACTTTATACAAATAAGTATACTATTTAGAAAGGTCTAACCAAACATTTTAAGTTTATATCTAGATAAAGTATTTGCTCGAATGTCAAAAAAGTACAAAAAATTCAGTTGTATTAGGATATTTTGCTTAAATTAATCACGTTGCTTACCAAGATCTTCACAATTAATTTCATGACTATCTTTGTCGATCTTACAGATTCGAGTCTGAGTATCGATTTGAGCTTGAAAACTATCGGATTCTGGTAATTTAGCCGAACATTCTACACGATATCTCCTTTGCATGTTTTCTTCCCCATTACTCTCATCTGTTATGTACCACTCACTCCAAGTAGACAAAATTTTCGTCGCTAAATAAGTAAGTGAAATTCGCAACCGAATTAGATAATTTGATTATTCGTTTTACAAATATACATTTTGTATAATATATCTTTCATAAGAAAATTACCATGCTTTTCCACGATTTTATACCAACTGATCAAACATATAGGGATAGTCAAATTAGAATAAGCTTTCATCACTGACTGTTGTCGACTGAAGGATTATTGAAAATCATTGATCATTGAAAAGTTTTACAAATTTTCAGTTTTAATATTAAGGGTGTGCTCGCTAGTGACTAAGTTAGAGACGTTTTTCATATATCATGGAAACTCATAATTGATAAAGTTCAATCAAATAGGAAGATACATAATATATTACCAAATTTACAGAAGTAAATATAATAAAGCTCACTTGAACATGGATGAGTATTACATTTTCTGTCTTCGAAAGCTCTACCAATGCACATTAATTTATTTGTATTCTCTGACTGATCTTTAAGTAATGTTTTCACTTCATCCAAAGTGAATTTTTCTGCATAATCAGTTCTTAAACCATTTTTATCTTTACAAAGACGTCTACGAAATTGTTTACCACCATTACACGATGATGTGCATGAAGTCCATTGCGACCAAGATGTCCATTCGAATATTGGTGTTGTTTCACCTGATCATTTGTTTCGAAAAAGATATCAAATAAAACCTAGTAATAGAATTTTGTTATCAAAATCATTACTAGGATATGTGCTTCAAAGTTTTCAGTGTCGGTTGACATGTTAAGCCCATCTATCTTATTCTCGCTTTCGGACAGGCCAATCTATTCATTCTAGTTGAGTTACCTTTTAACCTTGTTAATTATTCGCTTATCAGTCTTAACTGTTTTTATATGAGCGCATTTATGTGTATACACTTCTTATCCTATTCATCACATGTTTGTGACTTATTTTTGTGCAACTATAAATATTGATCAACGCTTGATTAAATAGAGTTGGCTTACCCGTCATCTCCGCTGCACGTCGTTTCACTTCTCTCTATTCCATTCAGTTCATACACAAAATATATGTATTCAAAAGTTCATTCTCGTTATTTGACTTATTCGTGTCCGTTATTGACTAACGCGAATTAAGTCGATGATTATATACGATGATAGGTGACATATATATTTCAATAACAATCATTCATACGATCAAATTGGAGTCTGAACTCGGGCTACTAAAGGGAGGAGCCCGTCAACAACATCATCCAATCTAAATGACGACAAAATAAAGGGCCCCACTAAAAGTTAAATAGTGTATACAATACTCTGGTCTACGTAAAGCGACATTCTCTACACTTACACGCACGTGTTTCATTGTATCATTCTGAATAGATAAAAGATCAATAACAAGATTATTTAATAATGTATAATCACAGTAGTATATTCATCAAAATATATTTCTCTTCATAGAATTTCCAGCTTATAAAATTCAGTCACATAGTAAACAAGTTTGAGTAGGTTTAAGCCTATGTTGAATCTATGCGAAAAGTTTAGTTCAGTGATAGTTTGTAATTTTCATTCATTCAAAGTGTCTAAATAACAGTCAAATCGCTATATTATTATTTTTTTAAAACTAGTGTATTATCATTACAATAATATGAAACTGTTTCCACTATTTGTTAATAAACAAATGACTGTTAAGTTTTTAAGTTTATTCGTTTTGAGTCTGATTTCTGAATTCTTTCACCCATTAATTACAGTCAGACTTAATTCGGAAGTTTTGATATTTTACTGTCAAGAATGTGTTGATTTGAAATATATAGTGTATTTGTCTAAAACAACAGAATAGCATACAAACTCATCAAAACAACTTTATATTAGCACCGAGGAAATATATTTAAACAAAAGATAAATTCTAATAATAATTCTATTTAAAACAATTAAGTAGCTAATACTTTGCATAAATATGTAAAGTTTATCTGACTATAGTCTTGTTAAAACAAGTGTTTGCTAAGCTCTTTAAAACTGCTATTTGTTTAAAATAGGGGATAAAATTAATGATGAAACTCATCGGTCGTGTACAGATTTGAGTATGAAACCTTGAGTCACACTATAATTAAATGAGTTTTAGTGATACTTCTTGAGTTCCATATACTGAAGTAACTGAAACTAGTTTCGAATCAGTGATTTAATATTTTAGAGCGAACTACCACAACCTCTAAACTATCGTTTCATGTTATTAATTTAAATGTTAAGTAAGATGATTGTATGCATAAATTCTTGTGACTGTTTATCACTTGTACGTTTCTTGGTGTAAAATTTTTCGTAATTAAGTGGTTGAGTATGATGAGATTTACTAGAATATATACCAGTTACTTTCTCAAAAATTTTTATCTCTTAGCATATTAGACGAAATTCGACAGATTTTAATCTTTAATAAAAAATTGGTCCATTGTAAATTTATTTCACATACTTATGAATATAGTTTCAAGAATTCGCTAAATTTTTATCATGTTCTTAACTGAACGTTAATCTCATAAAGACTTTAGGAATTAAGCAGTTCTTCAACCACTTGTATACATATGACTGAATCAAATTTTATGGATTTCGTTTAAACTTATTATCCTTTTGTTTCATAATGATGAATTGATCCATAATTTTTACTATAAACTTAAATGAATCGAACGGTAAAAATGCTTTTTTTTGTGACAAATTCACATTGAGTGATTATAGCGAACGATAAACTTTACGTTATTTGAACGAATTATTGAGCCGTGGGTAAGTGTGTATATAGAAACTCACCAGTTGCTTTAAAGTTAATTCAATAAACCAGTTGTTTTCGGATACAACATCGTTTGTCTCACACAATTCTAATCAAATAACAATGCAATAGTGGTAGATTTCATTTTAAGCAGTGATAAATACTTATAGAAGATCACTATATAAATTATGTATCATTATAATTGCTTACTGGAACACCTTTTAATTTCTTTAGTACAAATTTCAGTATGTTTATCAGGTCCATGACATTTATATGTACTTCCAACTGGACTAGGATTAGAACACCAACGGTATCTTGTACGTATTGGTGTTACGTTGAATTTATGATGCACAGAGTAACAAGCAGGTTCACATCCGGACCATGCAGACCACCCAGTCCAACCACCACTATAAGAACAACTGCTGATCTCAACTGATGATCCATTTGAACATTCATTTTCATTGAGTTCAGATGAAATTGGTGAGTAACAAGATCGAAAGCGACAATTACATCCAGTCAATTTAAATTGTTCACTTGAATATTGTGTCAGTAGCATGTTATTTTTATGCGTCCCTGATGACTGTTCACAACTGTTCCATTCACTCCAGCTACCCCATTCACTCTTAATCTTCATATTTGGGATTAATTCACTTTGAACACAGGTATCTGAATGATATGTTACAATATTATTAAGTATTCCTTCTTCAGTACTTAAGTCAACACATTTTTGTTTTGCTTCATTCCATCCACAATAAGGATCTCGTAGGAGTTTACATCCCATTCTTTCATCACCAAATCGTTTGCATCTTGCAATAGGTAAACGTAGCAGACGATTTTCTATTGCTATTAAAATGTATGAGTTTTTGGATATCTAAACATTTTCAAAGTGAAAATTTAAAAAAAAATTAGCTTAAAAACATTTGTTGTTTAAATGGTAACATCATACTTATTGATTAATACTATGTGATTAAAATCAGGCTCTAAAATCTAAACCCAGCTATTGTATGACAACAATAATGAGTTTAACTTAAATATGATCTTTTTGACCAAAATGATAAATCCGCACCTGCTCGGAAGGCCTAAAAACGATCTGGTGATTTTCATTTGGTTGAACAATTGTATTTATGACGAATAGACAAGACCTTAGTAACATGTAGTTAATATTAGCACGCTGACCTTAACTGTCCAACGATTGGTTACTTTTTCTTTTATTTAAGTAACTTATTGTATGCTCTCAATGTAATTATTGGTATGCTGTAAACAGAGCTGTTATGTAGCACTATCAGCTTCTTTGGAGAACTAAAATGATCTCTTTCCGAGAACCCCCTTTTAGCGTGACGTATCGGTTGAAATGGTGTGATTACGTATCAAAACAAAGTTCATTTGAGACACTTCAATAACTCAGCATCATGTGGTTCGAACAACAACCAATAAATTTCTCTTATGATTAACTAGTTTATACTTTATTCAAGTACCATTAGTATAATAAAGATTTTTATTTTACGAAGCTATTTTCCATCCTACTACTTGTTTTGTAAGTCAATTCTTTATTGGTTAAAATTCTTGTTTATACTCTCAGTACAATTCAGTAAACCTGTATTGATTTGAAAAATACTTTAATGGCTTCAAAAATGGTATTATAGAAATGGAAGTATACGTCGCCGTAAATTATTTATCTATATTTTAAGTTTGATGTATCTAAATGATCATACAATTTGATAAAATCTAGAAATAAAGATAATATGAAAGTTCCTAAAACGTTATATGTGAATTTATTTAAAAAATCTCTACTTTAAACAAGTTTATTGAAAGTTACCCATATGACATTCGTTACTGGAACTGTGCTGTCAGTGATCTTGTTTTTGTTTTGTTTTGTTTGAAAGAAAAAGGATAAATAACAAATGTTTTGAATTGACTTATGAACCTTATGATGTAAATTCCTTCAGTTACTATATTGTAATCTAACTAATAACTATACTCGAACTATTAAATTTATGACTATCAGTTTCTTAACGTGTCATTCAATAAGTTATTCATTCAAAATATTTTTTAACATTTGCAAAGATGATCTTATTTTAATTTCATTAGTACAATATTCAATTGTAGGGTGTATGAAAGTGAAATATTGTAATACTTACATGAATCACTGTTAATTTTAGTTAATAAACGGAATACATCCATTATGACATTAAATAAGAAAGATTGATTCGGCAAAGTACTCTCTTTTCAGCGAATTCATTTTCAAAACTGTACAATCATATATATATATATATATATATATATATATATATATATATATATATATATATACTTCTTTATTATTATTGTTATCCTGAAAAGTAAGTATATATATTTGTGATTGTACAGCTTTGAACATGAATTCACCGAAAAGAGAACTATTCGTTGAACCAATCTATCTTATTTAATTTCAATTAAGCTATGAAGCTTCTAAGAACATGACAAAGTATCATTTAAATTCTACCAGTATTTCACATGAAATTAAAATATTGTCGACTGTTAACAGTTGTCTGTGATTCAAATTAAGTAATATTAAAAATAAATATCGATCAACATTGGAAAGTTCAATCTGTAATCAAAGTAGTCACCAATAGATGTCTGTTGAATCAACTTGATGAACTTATTTTAATAGTTTAAATTTACAATATTTCCAAATAAAGTCAAACTATAAATAGAAATATATTCACTTTTTTATTTTGATTATTATAAATAATTCGCATTTGAACATTCCTGGTTGATAGACTTTTTGAAAATCTCGGCACTAAATAAATTAGTTCTATAAGACATAATTGGAATTCTTTTATATGCCATTTATATAATATCCCTTCAGAGTTGGTCACAAAAATAACCATATTCATATCACTTCTTAATGTTCCTGGGATTTTACTGACCACAATTTGTGTATATCTAAAAAATATATAAATAGAATAAACGTATTTATGTAAATAGACATGATGTAATCAGAGGTTTAAACGCAATTCGAAAAACATTTGACCACCGATTATTGAAAATATGTTTTACATCCGAAAACATTCAGTATAAGAATATATTCCTTTCATGTACTCGACAGGGAACTGTAAGGCATATTACAAGTAAAATAAGTTTATCTGTTAGGTCAGATCAAATTGATATGATGGATCAAGTCTTATATTTAGACTATCGGCTGCATAATCCTACATACTTGTATGCAATACTTTACGAAAGGAGTAACATGCGTGAACTGTATTCACTAACCTATGTTCAGTGTTGTCTAATTCATTGGAAAAAAAAGACTACTTTAGTCATTGGAAACACTTATAATTGATTGAATTTCTGTTATGATCATCTTGTTGCCTGGTCACTTTTATATTATTAAACATTCTAATCCATTTGCAGTAAATCACTCAATTATGTGTGTTTCATTTCAGTTTCTTTGTTAATCGGCAATTGTAAGTATTGTATTAGTTAAACGTTAATCAAAAAGTAACAAAAAAAACAAATCTAGTGAATTACACTTTGTCCAGTAGTTAAAAGCTTCAATCTCTATACATCATCTATTTATTTGGTTTTCTTTATTCAAGGTGTTTATGTGTTAGTAACTGGTCTTCCGTAAAACAATTAGAAGTTAGTTTGGAACTATATTATGAAGATCAACTACAATACCTTGATTAGTAATGCTTTGAATATATTCATGACGCTGATTTAAAACTAAAAGTAATGAATTGATTTCTATTTTATGAAAAGTATAAAATTAATAAAAACTGTCATTATATATGTAAATTATATTTGAAATAATCTCAGCGATTGAAATTTAAATAACTCCAACGTTTCGTCCAGACAAGTTAGCTGGATGAAACGTTGGAGTTATTTAAATTTCAATCGCTGAGATTATTTCAAATATAAATTACACATATAATGACTTCTCTATACTCGGCGCCCAATATCTGTCAAACTATTCGTTCTAATCTTGACGAATATTTGTATAATTAAAACTGTATTTTAAAATGTAATTAAAACTTACATTTCGCCTTGCTGTACTAGAATTGGTCTGTCGTATCGTGGTCTGACAGTTTTAAACATAAGATGATAGTCATTTTTCGAATATGGATTTGATGTAACTTTATCACACTAAATATAATGAATAGATAAAATTATATATTACTTAACTGGTTGCGTTGTAACGGTACAGCTGAAAAATTATACACACTGAACGTCATGTAAATATCTTTTAAGATTTCTGAACGTCACTGACTGGCTGATGATTGGCGAGCCAGGATTTGAACATTTTATGTCTTTATATTTAATATAACAATTCTTGTCTGGTATATTCAGTACTGATAAAGCTTAATTACGGACTAAATTTAACTAGTAATCTTAAAAATTTTAGTCCTTTAGTGATTAGATTTAGAGATCTAACTTGCTGTCAGTTATTGGGTGTTTACTAACTTCGCTGAATATGGAAAATCTAGAATTACTGCTGGGGTGGGGTTTGTGGAGATTGTAGTGATATTAGTAGTTGAATTCATAAGTTTTGACCAATGGAACCCGACCCGTGTCGGGTACAGACAGGTATCCACCTCAGACCATGGATGAAAGCTTTCTCAAGATCATGGATCAATTGAAGTTCGACATTAACACCGTTAGATGCTGGTTCAGTGATCTGGAAGTTAAGCGTTCGTGCATGAGACCAAACATCCTGAGTTTGAGTCCCAAATGCGGATGATGTGTGAGCACTACTGATGAGTTTCATACTAGGACGAGACAGGCGTCCAGTACTTCCAGGTTTCCAATAGTGGTCTAACTTATATCGACTAACAAATTCAACTATTAGAATCTAGAATTGTTTAATTTTTGATTAAATCTGACAGACGAATGTGTGAATTGTATACGAGCTAATAAATAATCAGACTGTATGCTATTTCTGTTTAATACTCCACTATAGGAATATTAAAATCCAAATACATGATTTACTTGACAATTAATCATTTATTTACTGAATATTAACATAGATGCTCAAAATACTTGGACAATAAAGAATAGTAAGATTTTTTGAATGATCAAGTTTTATAATAAGTGCACAGGTAGCTTTGTCCTTAATGCTTTCAACTTCAAATTACTGAATTACAAGTTCAAACTCCTTATTCGGTTTATTCGGTCAAATAATGTAATTGACTGTAACACAAAATATTTTGTTCAAACTTCAGTAAGTAAATTTGAGCTTTGTGTGTCAAGTCTTATAAAATTTAAGCCTCACAGTTGAGTAACGAGATAAGGTTCAAAAACACTGAAATTCTTGAGTTTATATAGACTTCTGTGCACCAAATATATTTCTAAGAAAAAGTAAAGTTTTCATACATTATAATCATTTCTAGTTGCTGTGGCAACTCCATCATTTTTATAAAATTCTCCATTAAATACTGACTCAATCTCTACCAAACTGTATGCACAGATAGCTGATGCAGTTGGCATTGATCTAGAACAGAAGAAAAAAATGAGTAAATGAACTATGAAACACAAGGATAACAAATTATAAGAGTATAAACTATGTAATTTACAAACGAAAAAATATACTGCGTTGTATTTAAGAGATAATACTGAATATAACTGAAGTTGATAATCACATTACTCATCTTAATAAAGTATATGGTAAATTAAACATTTCAGTTCCACAACTTATAAACACAGATGTGAACTATATTTATAAAGCAATCATGTGGTGACTTTGGATCAAGACAGCATTAATTTAACACCAGAATACACATATTATACTCTTAAGATTACTGATATTAAACGATTCAACAACTTCACATTAATTCTCGACATTAATAATGGCTTTTTGTTATTTACATTAACCTAACCTTTTTAGCAGAAATGCATAAATAACAAGAGTTAATCTAAGCTAGACCACCATGGAAAACCTGAAAGCATCGTTTCGTGCTAATGTGGGACTTTTCAGCAGTGCGTATTCACAACCTCGCACGCGGGGCTCGAGCACAAGGCTTTCAATCTCGCGCGCTAACGCCTAATCTGTAAATCACTGAGTTGGTATCCAACAATGTTAATGTCCAACTTTAATCGATCAATGTTCTTGAGCAACCGTTCATCCATTGTCTGAGGTTGATAACTCTCACACCCGAATTCAACTGTGAAAATACTGCGATCTCCACAAATTCCCATGATTAACAATTCAATTTGAGGCAAGTGATTTATCCTGTTTGAAATGAAAATTACTGGTATGTAAACAAATCTGTTTATTCATGTGAACAAGTATACGGTGGAAAGCCCGAAAAACAACGAGAGAATCGATCAATTATGTAACTCTGAGCTCAGGTTCAATAGTTTATTAGTGTTTTTATATTATATTCAATTACACTAAATTACCGAACTCACGATGAAGTTTGGAACGTTCCAAATAAAGTTTTAGTTGATTGATCCACATACACAGCCTGGATTTCAGTGAATACCAGACTGTTAGAACCATCTTCAGGTGTTGACGGACAAGTAATTGTTGCTTTGAGAAAATTATTGAAAACACCGAACGTATTTCCATCATCTGACTAAATTGTAAAATTTAAAAGTTACGGATAATCTGACTACTTACTAAAATAAGAGTAGTTTACTGATATTGACTAACAAAAGGTAAGTGAAAAGCAATAATCTTAATGTGAAGAGGTTGTATTTGATACGAAGAACTCCAAATTGAAATGTAATGCTTATCATGTGAAAGAATCTGCTAATAAAATTGTTGTATCATAATCAATCAATCCAATATGGATATATTTTCTGTTATGACTTGTGAATGGAATCGAATGCTACTTTTTGTATCTGGTCGTCGCTGATTGTTATGTCGGAATCGCTGACCACTTATGCTCGGAACGAAGGAACCTCTACAATTCCCACGATGCGAAAGTAAGAACACAAGACTGATATAAGTGAAGTTTTATTAGCCCAAAACACTATGATGACGACGACGACCTTAGCCGAAAATACACTCATTTATATATTGATTGTACACCCATTTCGATTGATAATTAGGATGAAATCACATATATGAAAAATACTCAGAGTTATAACAATTGACATACTGAGCATATTTCATGTCAATGGAATACATGAATATCGTATATTATACAGAATAAAATATCATACGAGAAAAGAAAATAAATACTACATTGAGTAATCACTACATTGAATCAAAACAGAAGTAATGTTGAATAAAATTCATAATGAGTAAATCGGTCGAAAATTGACTTTCTTTCCATCATATCATTTTCGTACGTGAGATAATACGCATGAATTTAAGCACTTGAACTATATTTGGCTAACTGTTTGCTTTGAAGAGAATCATGACTTCGGTAAGCATTCTCAAACACAAGTGTTTATGTGCTTAAAATAAAAAATATTTGAGTCATCTCAAAAGGATAAAAAGCATCATAACAATACATTCCGGTAATTCTGAGTGGTTATTAAATTGAATATCTAACTTTTCAATGAAGCTAAAGGTAAACAGCTAGTTAGTCCCTGTTTACGGAATTACTACAATAACATTATCATGGTCATCAAACTATTAAGAAGGAAATGTGCTTTTGACAATTGTTTAGTGAATTTGGAAAGCATAAGTGAGCATATTAATCCATAACTCATAATAGTTTCAAGACTAAATTAACGAAAATTGACCGTCGTTTACTTTCTACGTGGTCATGAATCGTCATTTTATTCTACATCTTAAAAGCATAGAGGCTGTTAACAATGCATAGGTTGATGTCCTCAAGTTTTACATATAGTTTAGATTGTTGATCGAATTTGATTGAAAAGATGTATTAATTACCTTAATCATACATATTCAGAAATGTGCTTCTCAAGTTCAGGAATATTGATACTATTACTAAACATTTCATAGCACAATCGAAGTAAGTAATTCAAGTTATACATCAATATCATTCATTTCTTTGTTTGAATCACAGTTGTTGTTATGGTTTACTCTAGTTTACACAAAATAATCGACTTATGACAGTTTCTAAGTAATATATATGAAAATGAAGACTTACACTACACAATCGGCCAATTCGTGACACAACAATCTGCAGTTATAAAAAAGGTATATAGAATTATAGATGAAAGAGCTTTGGTTAACCAAACAAGTGTGACTTTTACTGAACAGAAAATTTTCACTTTCATTTCATGTTCTCAGCTGCTATATATAATTTATCTTAGACTCGTGACTTGTATTCTGTTGTTTTATAGTAAAGAACCAATTGTCTAATTATTCTCAACTCCATTTTTAATTCGTTTCCTTTACTTGTGATGGTATCTCTTACTAATTTCTTCGAGTTATTTTTTTATTGTGTGAAATTCTCCTGGAAAATCTGTTGATTGAGAATGTCTTGAAAAGCCTAGAAATTTATCGCTTAATGTATTTTCATTTATTACTGTCACTGTCATATTACACCACTATGTTATGTTTTCCTGATATACATTAAGTATTGAAGTTCGAGTCCCACTCAATTATTTGAAAGGAGCACTTTATTTACGACTGTACTGTTTATGGCGTAATTTTGTAAGTGGGTACCTCACAGTTTCTGGTTTTTTATACTTTAAATATTTTTTGCGCTTTCAGACAACTTTCATTCTTTGGTTTTAAAACTGTTTATACAACTAAGTTGTTGGAATAAACTTCCTGAATGACTCAGAAAATCGGACATATCCAGTACTATATTATAAACAATCAAATCTCATTTACCGATAAATATTCCAGTTTTCTTCCTTAAATATCAAACATAATTATGAAATTAAACTTTTTCATGACCAACCGGTTATTTCATATGTACTTAATACAAAATGATCTGTTTCCTAAAAGGCATTTCAATAGTTTATAAAATTATAATATATCGTTCATCACATTTTGATGCTTGAACAAATTAATGTACTTTTTATTACATAACCTTATATCTTTGAATAGAATACCTTCCATTATTTTCAAATAAGTCTTTCTATTCAGTGAAACTCTTGTATTTATTCATTTTTTTAAAAAAAAAAATACTTACAGATTTATCACAACTTTCAACCGTCTCATCAGCCAATTCTCGAAACAAAAAGTATACAGCATTGTGAAACTCGAAACTATGTACAAATATTGTATTATCTGAAAAATATTAATATACATTTAGTTTGGTTTACATTTTCTGCAATATACAGCGTAAAATAATTACAAAACATCTTAACGATAACAACCTGTGAAATCTTAAATATACCAAACATTTAAGAATGGTTTGATTCAAATCTCAGTAATCTTGTGTGTTGGAAAGATATCTGACTCCATCAGAACGTTGATTTCTCAGAAGGTATTTCAAATTCTTTAGATTAAATGTATGAAGACACAACATTTTAGAATTAGAATAGTATATTTAGAATTCGTATTATGTTCCCGACTATTTATAGTTTTATATAGCCATTTTTTCTACATTTTCACATGTGCTTTTGTAATAAATATCAATTAAAATAACCTATTGTGTCCCTGAATAAAAATAAAGAGAATTTACCGAAGAAAATTTTCTTTTCGATGAAATCAATTACTTTAGCTGTACATTAGTATTTATAGTTGTATGGTAAATATATGTCGATACAGGGGTAGAAAAGATTGCACCATAAAGTGATTCTAGACTCCAATTGCCAAGTGAGGTTATGTAATAATCAAGGGGTTAGAGAAGAATAGGAGGATAAAAATAATTTATGGGCCAAAACCGCTCGCTGATCAGAATTATAATTGTCCAATTGACAGATATGACGAAAAACGGCAAACATAAAGGTCATAATAAAAACTGATCACAGTTTGAAACTGAAAACTAAGTTTTTTTTTAAAATAATCCGAAACATACGAGAAAAGGGAATTAGGGTAAAGGAAGAATGATAGGTTGGACGTATCATTTTTGCATACAGAGTTCAGGCGTGAATTGGTGGATCGTTAATGCCCCAGCAGTCAATAAGTTTTTAATTCGACCTTCTTTCGATCCAGCTCCTTTGATCGTGTAGATTGTTTTAATGGAAGACTCCTTCAAAGCGACGTGTCTAGAGTTGATCCGGTGATCCTGTATTGAACTGGTAACTGTTTTGCATTCTCCTTTTAAAAACTCCGCCAGGTAGTGTTCTGAGATGCGTTTAGAAAGTGATCGTTTTGTGCGACCAATTTAACCTGCTGAATTCTCTTTATTTTTATTCAATAAATATGAATTATCTGTTAAAGTGACAAGTAGAATGTTGATTTGAATATCCCTATCGCTCTAATTAAAAAGACTATTTAAGCATATATCTAATTTCACTTGTTTATCATTATATTTATGATTAGAAGTATAAATATTCATTTGAAACATTTAAACTGTTGCTATTAAAGAAAATTTGAACACCTATATTCGAAACATATGTTAATGATGATAATAAAGACATGTAACTGTTTGTATAGGATAACAAAAATTTGTGTGCAAGTATATGTACGAGGTAGTGAAAGAGATTTGTTGCTTAGACAAAAACATTGATAATTAGCTAATAAAGTATTTGAAAAATGTGTAAAATGAGGGTGACAGTAGCAACTGTGAAAGTAGTAATTGCTACGTATACTCAAATGACAACGATGTACAAAACATTGATTTGTTTCAATCACTGACTCATTAATTATCTTCAAACTGCAGAGAATTCACAAGGAATTAAACAACTAGGTATAGACCTATTATGTTATACTTTGACCGATATGTATAATACACCTATAATCATGCTGACTGGGACCTCCTGTACTCACTGGTTAAACTTTCGGTCTGAGATGCCACTGAAACATTCTATGTAATCGTTAACTATTGTTTCAATTCCTGAGCACCTGTTAAAACGTACAGGTTTAATAAACCCTACGAATTATACATACCAGCCAAATATCGTAATAAATTAAGACGCCTACGGAAACGGCAGTTACACAAATAACAATAATGTTTAGCCAAATTAAAGTGAAGCACAGGTTAAAAGCCATTAATGAGGAGCTGTTAGTACTTAAGAGTACAAAACTTAATTCTCCTTTTCAATAAAGACGTTAATGAAACTCAAAATGTTGATATACTATGCATCCTTCATAATGACACTTTTATATGCAACTCTAAAAATATAGCAGAACTTTTCAATGGTATTTTTACGAATGGTAAAGAATTCCTAAATGGCACTGTTTCAAGAGTCATGTACGTAACTAGTAACTCAATAAGATCTATCTCTTCCATGTACTTGAAAATAGTAAGGCTATAAATCCCCTGGGGTCTCTAGCGGTCGTGGAGCAGATGGGATGATTCAGATATTTCACTTTTCTTACTAAAGTTGCTTACTTTCTCTATGAAAACAGGTACTTACCCTTACTGTTGGAAAACCGTGTATGTCGTACCACTTTACAAATCTGGAGATAAGACTGACATGAATAATTATCGGCCCATAAATATTACTCCAGTTGTCTCAAGGATTATGGAAAACATTGTAGTGATGAACTCTCCAACTATTTACTTGCTGAAAAATTTATCAATGATTCTGAAAATGAGTTTCTTAAAAGTCGATCTTGTATGATATGCCACTTCGATTTCATTAATTTGGTCTTTTTTCAACGTAACCAAGGATATCTAGTCTTAGTGCTATACTTTGACATTTCTAAAGCCTTCGACATGGCTAACCAGCATCTTCTCATCTTACGGGGTCCGAAACCCTCTGCTTGCTTGGTTTGATTACTTCCTCAGCCACCGACATCAAATAGTTAAATATAACTCTTCCTTGTCGAACGCTGTCCCTGACAGAAGTGGTGTAATACGAGGTAATGTCTTAGACCCTTTGCTTTTTTTGGTTTTTATCAATGACGTTTGCAAATCTTTTTGTGTGGGTAAGCCCTTTCTGTATGCAGACGATCTCAAAGTAGTGTATTCATTTTCTCATCATGAGCTTAACAATGTGGCGCAGTAGTGCTCAAACTGACAACTGGAGCTTAAAACGGCTAAATGTGGATGGATGTGTATCGGTAATAAATTACTCGACCTAGATCTTACCATAAATGGCAAGATGTTATCGAAGTTAAAAACAGTAGTAGACTTGAGACTTAGGTACTCCTACGATTTATCCTTTACAAAACAGGTATTGAAACAGATATCCAAGACCCAATGTCTAATGGTTTACACAATTCGAAGCCTCAATAACAATGAGTTACGTATTTTGATGTACAAAGTATATGTTTGACCACTCCTAGAATACTGTACGTTTATTCTTAGTAGCATGCGCATAAAGGATAAATTAGGGCTGGAATTCATACGGAGACGATTCATACTTCGGATTTTTGAAACTGATTTTACCTTGAATTATAATTCCAGATATAAAAAACCTGAACTGAACCCTTTATGGAAGAGGAGATTCAAACTTAATCCAATCATTTTCTTCAAAATACTTTATAAACTATCCTTTACACCCAGTCAAGTAATTCAATATGTAGAAACTTCTAATTACGGCATCCATAACTCTTTGTCACTAGTGAAACAATCCCGTTATAAATCATCTGTTTATATGAATTACCTTACAAGCAAATTTTCCATATTCTGTAATAATCTACTACAATCCATCCACAAGATAAAATCCCTCCCATCCTTTATTCGCTGCATTGAAGCTTATCGCTCTTCTGAAAATTGATCAAATGTTCTAGCGCCTGTAAGTGTAACTTTTTCCATAAGTGAGGTTATAGGAACTTTAAATGTTTAGCCATTCTTATTACTGAAATCATTAAGTAAAACCACCTACCTGCTGTTAATTTATATTAACACCGACCCTGGAAACCCTAGCTAATTTGAATATCTAACGTGAACAGTATATCACTGAGTTACATAACACATGCAATATGGTAGACCTGACTGACTTACTTTAGTAATTATTGTTTTGTTGCTCTGTGCTCTCTGTTTCCATTTTATTTTCTCCAGTTATAGATGCTTATAATTAATTCGTTATGGCGCAGGAATTGACTTTAAATGAACAGTTCATAAATCTACAGGATGTCAACTTAATAAGAATTGAAAGTTCCCGGCCGATGCATTTTATTGCTGTAATACATGTCATAAATGTACTACCTAAACAATTTTTGAACTAATAAACTTAAAACAATCTTATATCGTATGCCTGTTCTGTAGATTTAATGTTACTATTTATATCAAGCTGATCAAGCCTGTAAATTGGTATGAATTCTGTAATTATTATTTTCACTGTATATATGTATTCATTATTATTATTATTATTACTTGTTTACCCTTGGTACATTTTTCTAATAGGATGTATAAAAACGCTAAAGAACATGAATCAAAGTTTCTGTCGTTTGATTCTATTGGAAATCCAATAAGCGCATTAATTATGATTAATTTTTGACAAAGAGTGATAAATCCAACCATGATTCTGACTGTAACACCATATCAAAATAATATTCCTGTTTAAATAACATCAAGAATCCATTATCCATTAAAGTAACTTGATCAACTTACTATTTTGTTTTATCATTCTGTCGTCCGGGGATGTACGAATAGGATATTTGAATGGTTGGATTGAATTCAAATTTTCTACAGAATTTACTTTCATAATACGCATTTCAGTATTTTTTAATGATCCTGTTTTGGTACCTATGTACAAATTTTGTGTACTTGCAACAAAACCAACTGCTGGTCGATCAGGATCTATTGGACAGTGATCTACACTTTTCCAGTGTATTTTCGATGGAGCACGTAAATTGTTAGCCTACAAAAGATAAAGATATTTTAAAATTACATTTTATATCACCAAATATAACAGATTGTTATTTATCCAGTTACTTGTGAATATAAAAACAGCTTCATATTTCAAGTTAGCTTAAGTTTTAACCAAAAGTGTTTCACTTTGCATAACGAGTTAACATATTACTAAAAACATATACAGATACATAGAGGAAAATTGAGCTAAACAGTGGTGCTTCACAAACTTACACTTGAGTTTATCATCTGTACTCTAAGGTATTTTAAGTTTTATAAATAATCAAAAGAGATTATCCTAACAAAAATATAACGTAATGAATACTGACAATAATTACTAATATTCAAATATCCTGATTCATCAACAATTGTCGAATATAAGTTCACTACTTATTGTTTGGTTTAAGATTGTATTGTTGATTAGTTTTAGTAAAGAAGTCAGGTTTTCTTTTGTTTTCTTAGTCAAAAGTCATCATAATTACTTCTTGTTCTCTCTTAAAGTTTACACTCAATATTAATGATTTTAGATTAGATCATGTTGATAATATGAAAAAAAGAAAACATATTGATCTTTAGTTTTACTGACAAATTAATTCATTAATGATTGAATGCGGGTTTATTTATATATGGTATTTGAGTAAATTAGAAACAAAATAGAATGTAAGGTATGCATATTTGATATTTATTTTTTAGTCTGACAAAATTCCCAGTTGAACTAATAAATAATAAACTATTTTTAACATTAAGTAAAATAATTCACACCATTGAGCACCCAGATATTGTATAAATGTTGTTTCCTATTTTGTTGGTACGATGTGGTCTGTCTGGTTGGTATATAAACCCAGTATGCTTGAAATAAATTATTCATATTGCAGAGGCTGAGATTGGTGTTCTGAACTTAACTGGCTGGGCTAGGCGGAAAGCAGGACCGATAAGTACTCTAGACTGCTCGTACGTGTTTTACGTGTCATTTGTCTGATTGATAATTCACTGCTCTCTAATTGGCGGTATCGTTACATTATTCAATAGACAAGGCACACAGGTCACGAGTTATAACAGTTTTTCTAAAAAAGAACTAGGATGTAAGGGAATTTTGAGACAATCAATAAATTTAATTATACATGTTCAATAGATTATTGGGTTTAACCACACTATCACTGTTGGATCCTGATTATGTTATTATTTATAAATTTGATTATATTATTTAAATTAATCCATTTAAACAATAAAAAAATTAATTGAGCTAGAAAGAACCGTAGTTTGATAATAATTTTGTATAATTTATAATCTATATGATAATTCTATGTTCTGTCAATTCGTAACCGACCATACATTCAATTTACAAGCAAAAGATACTTCAAACATTCCATGAATAAATGTGAAAAATCAATTTTGTCACAATTTGTCATTCATAAATATACTGATGATTTATCAGTATGTATATTTACTGAATAAATCCATAATGCTCACATTATTCAAATCTCAATAACCATTATAATTATCACTGGAAGTCATCCATAAAGCAATTTATCTGCCTATATTGATATAAGATTTATGCATTAAGACAATATGTAAAAAACTAACCTGACGAAGTGAACATTCAGCTATTAATCCATTGGATAAACATACATAAACTCCAGTTCGGTGCAAAGGTGAATCATTCAGTCCAGGAAATATTTTATCTACAACTTTTAGCAAGGTCACAGCATATTGATTACATGGAATCTAAAATGAATGCAATAAAATTATTGTAGAAGTATATACATTTCAGATGACAAAGAAATCTTAAGTGAAATATTATGCGAAGAAATTATATCTGAAAAGAACTTTTCTCTACCTTCAGTTTGAATTACATATAATCCTGTGGCTGTTAAAGGGATTAATTAACCATTTAGCTGAAATGTCATCAATATAAATTGTTTATCAATTTAGGTGTTGTGGAGATTGTCAAGTTTTTGATTGAGATCATGAACCGATTGATGTTAGACCACCATTTAAAACCTGAAAGCACTAGACGGCCGTCTCATCCTATTGTGGGACTCCTCAGCAGTGCGTATCCACGATCCCGCTCGCTGGATTCGAACCCAGGGCCTTCAGTCTCGCGCGCGAACGCTTAACCTACTCGGCCACTGGAATGAACTGAAAGTTATCTTGGATTATTTCAAATAACACCTTCTTGGTTTTCATGACTGACTTGATATTGTAGATTACATTTCTAATGTTTGATCTTTGGTAAGTGGTTTAATATCGTTGCGTTCTGAATTCGATTTATACAAAAGACCCTGGAACTTTACTTTCTATTTCTGAAGACTGAACAGTAAGATCCTTCTGTAATCTGACGAAAATATTCACTTTTTCACTGTGCTTCATAGTCAGAGATTTTCCTACTAAGTATGTTCCACTTCTCAAACAATATACACCATACAATCTTACAGTTCCTTCAATACATAAATATTTTACTGCTACTATGAGTTACACTGAGTTGATAAGTACATTAAATCTGAGTTTTACTACAGCTATACATTTAACTTGATTATGAATATCAATATTCATGAAACTTGAGCCCATGGCTCGTTGCACCTTAACGTTTATTATTAAGTAATGAGTTAACATTATATTATAAATGATTTGTCAACAATGAAGTATAAGTTAACTTTAAAATTATTACATATAGTCTAGCACCCACTGTGATTTTGAGATTAATGAAATACACGTAGTAAAATGTGACAAATTGAACATCGTTGTGTAATTATTTAGTTTACCAAGTGCCTATTAAGTGACGCTTATAAGTTAAACGTTAAAACTATATAATTATTCAAGAATTTATAGTTTAAATAATTGTTATTTATGAACAGATACTATTTTAGAATAAGAAATAATCCTTACTTTATTGAGTCAAAAACTCCATATTATATGCTTCTAGTTTTGATTTCAAGATTGTCTTAATCTGAGACTCGTGCTATTGCTTCATGTTGTCTATTGGTCTCGTTATTGAATGCAAATGAATAAAGGGCATAAGGTTGACCCATATTTCCTTTTGTTCGTTTCCTTTCTGGCTGTACTTACTCATGCTTCTCCACTAGTTCACCTGATACACAAAGTACTTTCTGGCTAGGTGTGAACCGCTACACTTAAAAACTGTCTGACATCCTTAACTTTTTTGTCATTACAACCTATGATATTTAGAATCATAACTACATAATGGGTTTAAATTACTTACATGAAATGGTTTAGTTGGAAGTTATATGGAAGACAAATTAGTATAGTATAGAATGGGTGTAAATAAATTTAAAAGACTGAATATTGTAAATATATACCTTATGTAAAAGAAAATTCTACAACATTGATTGCAACAACGGTTCAAACGGCTAGAAACAAGTGATTACACATTGAGCAAACTCTGGTAGTAATAAAATGAGTAGAGCTCAGTTAATAAAATAAAATTACAAATCTGGAAGATAGTTGAAATAAAACTCAGTGATGTAATAAATGCAAGAAAGGGTAAAACAACGGTTAAGATGTAACGAAAGAATATCTGTCACTAAGGCAAGGAAAGATTAATAACCACCTCCTTTTGAATTATCATTATTATTTTCTAGGCAGAATACTTATCATCCAAAATAATTATTCATCATTTTGTGATTCTTATTGCTTCTTTTTGTGTATAACATTATTTCGATAGTGTGGTTGTGGAGATGATTATCAGAACTAGGTGATATATTAGCGCAATACATTTCGAACAAACTAATCACACATAATGTACTTGTTAAGAACATTTATATGTAAAAATAAAAGGTGAACTAGACCAGAAATGGAGGGTAAGGGGAGACAAGGATAATAAGGGAAATAATGTGAAAACAGTTTGAACATGTGAACATGTATTTAAATGGTGCTTACATAGCATCAAATAATCCGATAAGAGTAGAGGACAAACATCCAAACACATAACTGAAACAGGTCATAAGATTGATCTTAACTCGGCTTTTGTGGTGTTGTACGAAAGTATGAAAGGGCGTATTTTATGATTTATTGAAGCCTTAGCCCCTCCCTTTGTTTGTTCGAAAAGTTTGTTCTTCCCTTAAACCTACCCTGTTAATATTAATTTATTAACCAAAGTGATGAGATTTCAAATTGCTTTCATATTATTTCTTTATCATCCTTGTCTCCCCTTACCCTCCATTTCTGGTCTAGTTCACCTTTTATTTTTACATATAAATGTTCTTAACAAGTACATTATGTGTGATTAGTTTGTTCGAAATGTATTGCGCTAATATATCATATAGTTATGATAATCTTCGTCTTCTTATTACACTATAGAAATATAACATTATTGTTATAATAGGCAGAAGTAATAATGTCAGCTATGCCAAATAATATGAATTTAAATATATTGACAAAAATATATTTCCATTAAGAATTAAGTACGCTTTAATAGTAAATGTCATTATCAACAGAATCTAAGTTAATATGCTTTTATTAGCTTCCTGAAAGTACCTTACAGCTAATCAGAAGTGAATACTATTTAAAAGTCCCTGTCATATTAAAATACTCATACATGAACAAAAAAATATGTAATTTTCGATAAATTCTCTCCAGGTTCTGCAATTAACTCCGCCTGTAGCTCTTCTAGAGTTACTGCCGGTCCCAAGCCCGGATAAAGGAGGAGAGTTGGGCATGGGGTTAGTGTCCCCATCCCGTAGAAAACTAACTCGCTAAAAATACGCTAACCAGAAAAAATAACTCAAACCATTTAAACTCTGCCCTGGGAGTTAGAAGGTCATCATTTAGAAGAAATATGACGCCTCAGGGTGAAAGCCGAGTTCCTTCGGAAGCCATGAGGCCAATGCCTCTTCAAACAACCAGAGCAAAATTTTTATAGGTACATGGAACGTCCGGACAATGTGGGAGACCGGGAAGGCCATTCAGATAGCAACGGAAATGAGGAGATACAACTTGGCAGTACTGGGAATCAGCGAAACCCATTGGACCCAAGCTGGACAACAAAGGCTAAATACGGGAGAGATGCTGCTATACTCCGGTCACGAAGAGGAAAATGCTCCACACACTCAGGGAGTTGCTCTAATGCTGTCCAAAGTAGCACAAAATGCACTTGTAGGATGGGAATCTCACGGATCCAGAATCATCAAAGCATCATTAAAAACAAAGAAGGAGGGGATCACAATGAACATTATCCGGTGTTATGCACCCACCAATGATAGCAACGACGAAGTTAAAGATCAATTCTATGAGAGGCTGCAATCAATCATAGAGAAGTGCTCAAGAAAAGACCTCACCATTCTGATGGGAGATCTAAACGCCAAAGTCGGAATGGACAACACCGGATATGAAGATATTATGGGACTGCATGGACTGGGAGAGAGGAACGAAAACGGAGAAAGATTTGTAAATCTGTGTGCATTCAACAAATTGGTCATAGGCGGCACAATATTACAACACAAACGTATACACAAAGCAACATGGATCTCACCGGACCACTCCACAGAGAACCAGATAGATCAGATTTACATCAATAAAAAGTTCCGAAGGACAATGGAAGATGTGAGAACCAGGAGAGGAGCGGACATAGCTTCAGATAACCACCTGGTTGTGGCCAATTTAAAACTGAAGCTAAAGAAGAACTGGACAACTGGACAAACAGAACTACAAAGTTTCAATACAGTCTTCCTTCGAAATACTGACAAATTCAATGAATTCAAGATAGCTCTCAACAACAGGTTCCAAGACCTACAGGATCTACTGAAGGAAGAAGAAACTACTGTGGAGGATAACTGGAAAGGTATCAAAGAAACATTAACTTCAACGTGTCTAGAGGCTCAGGGCCCCAAGAAGCATCATCACAAGGAATGGATCTCTATAGAAACACTGAACAGGATCAAAGAAAGGAAGAACAAGAAGACAGCAATTAACAATAGTCGAACACGAGTAGAGAAAGGCCAAGCACAAGCTGAGTACATAGAAGCAAACAAGCAAGTGAAGAAGAGCATTAGAGCCGACAAGCAGAAATACGTGGAAGAACTGGCAACGACGGCGGAAAAAGCTGCAAGAGAAGGAAATATGAAATAGCTTTATGATACAACGAAGAAACTAGCAGGGAAATATAGTAAACCAGAGTGACCAGTCAAAGACAAAGAAGGAAGACCAATCACTGAGATTCAACAACAGCGCAGCAGATGGGCAGAGTACTTCGAGGAACTCCTGAATAGGCCGGCACCAATGAATCCACCGGATATCAAAGCAGCACACACAGATCTCCCTATAGATGTCAATCCACCAACGACAGAAGAAATCAGAATGGCCATCAGACAAATCAAGAGCGGGAAAGCAGCGGGACCCGACAATATACCAGCTGAAGCACTGAAGTCAGACATCGAAGTAACGACAAACATGCTTCATCTCCTATTCAAGAAGATTTGGAAGGAGGAACAAGTGGTTGTTCTCGTCAAAAAGAATGAGCTAGAAAACACATACAAACTGATCAACAACGTCTTCGATGACATCAAGTTCACAATGGAACAGGAGGCAAACAACAAACTACCATTCTTGGATATATTAATCACTAGAACTGACACAGGAAAACTAGAAACTCAAGTATATAGGAAACCGACCCACACAGATCAAATTCTAAACTACAATAGCAACAACCCAAGAGCACATAAAATCAACTGCGTGCAAACTTTGTTTAAGAGGGCGAGGTCACACTGCACCACTCTGGCAGCACGAAGAAAAGAAGAGAAATACCTAAAGGAGGAACAAGTGCCGATGGACTGGAAGGAAGGACACCTCATCAAGATTCCAAAGAAAGGAGACCTGAGCAAGTGTGAAAACTACAGAGGCATTACACTACTGTCAATACCAGGAAAAGTCTTTAACAGAGTGTTACTAAACAGGATGAAAGACACAGTAGACGCTCAACTTCGAGATCAACAAGCTGGACTCCGTAAGGACCGGTCGTGCACAGACCAAATTGCGACACTACGGATCATCGTCGAACAATCAATCGAATGGAACTCGTCATTATACATCAACTTCATTGATTATGAGAAGGCAATTGACAGTGTAGATAGGAGGAAGTTATGGAAAATTCTTCGACACTACGGAGTTCCTGAGAAGATTGTCAACATTATCCGGAACTCATACGACGGACTACAGTGCAAAGTAGTGCATGAAGGACAGCTGACAGATGCATTCCAAGTGAGGACCGGAGTAAGACAAGGTTGTCTACTCTCTCCCTTCCTCTTTCTTCTGGTGCTCGACTGGATTATGAAGACCTCGACATCTGAGGGAAAACACGGCATACAATGGACAGCTCAGAACCAATTAAACGATTTAGACTTCGCAGATGACCTAGCCCTCCTATACAATACACACGAACAAATGCAGACAAAGACAGCCAGCATAACAGCAGTCTCTGCATCAGTAGGCCTCAAAATACGCGAAGGGAAAACCAAGGTCCTCAAACACAACACGGAGAACAGCAGTCCAATCACTCTTGATGGCGAAACTCTGGAAGATGTAGAATCCTTCACATACCTGGGAAGCATCGTCGACAAACAAGGAAGTTCAGATGCAGACGTAAAGGCGAGGATTGGCAAAGCAAGGGCCGCATTCCTTCAATTAAAGAACATATGGAACTCAAAACAACTTTCAACCAACATCAAAGTCAGAATCTTCAATACGAACGTCAAGGCAGTTCTACTGTACGGAGCTGAAACTTGGAGAACTACAACAACCACCATCAAGAAGGTACAGGTATTTATTAATATCTGTCTACGCATGATACTCAACATCCATTGGCCGGATATCATCAGCAACAGCCTTTTGTGGGAGAGAACCAACCAGCTTCCAGCTGAAGTGGAAATTAGGAAAAGACGATGGAAATGGATAGGACATACATTGAGGAAATCATCAAACTGCATTACGAGACAAGCGCTAACTTGGAATCCTGAAGGGAAGCGGAAAAGAGGAAGGCCAAAGAACACATTACGTCGGGAAATAGAAGCAGATATGAAAAAGATGAATAAGAACTGGAAAGAGCTTGAAAGGATTGCCCAGGACAGGGTTGGATGGAGAATGCTGGTGAGCGGTCTATGCTCCTTCACGAAGAGTAAAAGGTGAAAGTAACTAAGTAAAGTAAGTAAGTAGGTTCTGCAATTAAATATCCAAATTAAAAAGTGGTCACACTTTTTAGGTTATAAATTTTAGTCTACAACCGTAGAACCTGAAGAGAAAACATATTGAGAGGAATATTCTTCATCTATCAGAGAACACATTCAAATAAGTATGACACTGTCAATCTACATACCAAGATAATATATACTATATCTAATTACAGCGAATGGTTACATATAAATATATCACTTACTTTTCTATTAGAATCTTGTTCAGAACAGGTTGATATATCTTGACTAGACAATGACCAACTAGCTTCATCTTTTCTTAAGAAGGTTTCTGCAGAAATTCTTATAATTGAATTACTGTCAAATAAGAAATTATAGATTAGAATAGTTGATAAGTAGTTGAGATCATAAGTCAATTGAAGCTAGACCACCATGGAAAGCCTGGAAGCACTGGACGGCCGTTTCGTCCTATTGTGGGACTCCTCAGAAATGAGCATCCACGATCCCGCCCCCCGCGAGAATCGAACCACGGACTTATCAGTCTCGCGCGCGAGCGCTTAGCTATTAGACCACTGAGATGGCCAGCATCCAACGATGTTAATGTCTAACTTCAACCAATCCACGAAATTGTGCCACCGGCACCGTTGTCTTCAGTGAGTTGAGGAGTCCCAAAATAGAACAAAACGGCCGTCCAGTGCTTCCAGGTTTTTCATGGTGGTCTAGCTTCAATTGTTTCATGATCTCAACTGTTGAAATTACTACAATCACCACAAAACCCCTTCTGATAATTAATAAATAATCAATTTTCCACAGTAATTATTTCAGAGTTGTAATTTGTTTCTATTGACAACAACAAAATCTGTACAAATTTTTATAATTCAAGGGTATTTAACAGAAAAAAATTTTGATGAATTATATTCCATTAATTATTTACGTTTATTTCTGAAATTAATTGTCTTCTTCATTAAGCGTTTTGTTAATCTCAGTGTAAAACATTCTTGACTTAAAATTCAGTACAGTATATCTTTAAATTCATGAACAGATCAATAAAGCATATTTATCATCTATCATATGTGCTCTTTTTACTATTAAGGTATGGAAATTGTAGTTTCTTCATTCTCAAACAGTTTAATTAATGATATACGAATAAATAAGTAAATATTGTTTATAGTTTGTAAACCATCTATTTGTTAATAATTTTTCAACAATAAAAAGTTAATTGTTTACAGTAAATCACCTTGAAATAGTTTAATGAGAACGAAGCAAATTTTAATAAATAATGAACAACTAATCAATAAATGGATTAATTCAAAATTATATTCAAATTCTGTTATTTAAAAATAAATAGATTGGAGAAAAATCAGCTAGTTTTTATGGGTTGACATTAGTATCTAGTTTATTACTGAGATAGAAATAAGTTTACAGTTAACCAGAAAAGGTTTCCAAAAACGTATATATGAACTTTGGATAAGGTTTTTAAAGAGACTAGGTATATAGAATCTCACGAAGTAAAAGGAGCAAATAAGTATATAACTGACAAATATTTATTTGGCAATTTAAAAATCTCTATAGAGTAATCAAAAGTAAAGAATATTTGATTAAATAATTGTTGTCAATAGTTACATCAGGCTCAGTATTATTGTATTAGAATAGTTAATCATAATGTAACGAAAAATGTTATGTTGATTTGAATTATAGTAATGAGAAAATAATGTGGGATGATACAGATGACTACACATCTATGGATATTTTTTTGGAAAAAAAGATGTGCATTAAAGGAAGTTGGGAATAATAGTTTACAACATATCAGTTGGGAAGTTCTGCCAAGATAAGTAGAACTATTGTATAGAGTGGTTTTGGCTAGTTAACTTTGGTTTCCGTAATTTGATCCTAATGACTTTTTAACGTCAATTATTTTGAACTTGATATGAAGCTGAAAATGATCTTGTCTTGAATAAGTGTTTATTATCTGTCAATTAAGAAAGAACAATGCTAATTTTACATTTATCAACCTGTTTTCTTAGCCGTCCTCATAAATGTTGACCAGCATAAAAGATATGGCTATCCGAGTGTGACTCAAGTAACAAGTTCTATAGAAGCAACTAAACTGGTATACATATATTATTAGAAACTTCTATGGTTTGTATTGTGAGTACTAGTTTTACCATTTCTTTGGCATTCATTGTGTTATGCCCCGTTAAGCATAATGAATGGTAGGTTTTGGGATCCATTTGTGGACCAGTACTATGCGTATACTTTTATCGCATAATTGTTAAATAAATAAACTGTTCATATTCATGTCCCTCTTATCATGAGCCTTATTTTAACCTATGAACTATTATTATACGATTTACCGTTCTTGAATTATACCCTATCTACTAATCACTACCTCCCTCATTCACAGCCACATTTTCCCAGATATTGTATAAATGTTGTTTCCTATTTTGTTGGTACGATGTGGTCTGTCTGGTTGGTATATAAACCCAGTATGCTTGAAATAAATTATTCATATTGCAGAGGCTGAGATTGGTGTTCTGAACTTAACTGGCTGGGCTAGGCGGAAAGCAGGACCGATAAGTACTCTAGACTGCTCGTACGTGTTTTACGTGTCATTTGTCTGATTGATAATTCACTGCTCTCTAATTGGCGGTATCGTTACATTATTCAATAGACAAGGCACACAGGTCACAAGTTATAACATATTGGAAGTTGATATTAAATTATTTTTCTTATTTAAATTAAACCATAAGAAACAAAAGGTAATGCTTTTACATTATTTCGAATAAACATATTGAGTTGGATTAGAAATTGTAAAATTTATTACAAATATTATTATCATTATGTCATAAAGTATGTTAACATTTAATAGAAGTCCAATTTAGATTATGATTATCTCTGTCTGTTAAATAACTAAGAAACAAAATTTTATAGAATAAATAATTAATATAATATTTGTAATATTCCAATCAGTAGAGAAATTAAATTTTTTGACATTTCGTGACTTAGTGTAAGCTACTTCTTCAGAGAATAAATAACCAAATCAAAATTAATCCAAGAAACTTGGATTTTTCTACTCATTGGGATATTACAAATATATTAATTTATTTATAACAATCTACTCAATGCTCGATTCATTCGAAATTATTTAGTTTAACCTTAATGATGTTACCTGCAAACTTTAAGGATAAAACTTTTAAAACTATATAACTTATTATTAAACTGGTTTAATTTAATTTATTTTTTGAAAAATGTTAAGGTTATCAAACAGATCTTTAAATAATGTTCAAGATCACTTCGATGATCTCTGGTATCGATTTAATCTCATTGATTTTAACGTACACTGTGTCATTTAACCTAAATAACATGGTGATGGATACCAATAAGATATATTATATGGATTTAGGATACTCCATAGACTTTTTCGTATTATCTAAATTATAAAAAGTGTTTAAATCTTAGTGGATTGCATAAAATAGATTTAACAGTGAAATGATAGCTAAGTAACCTATTTTAAAGTTGAATAAATGCACACTTTCGAAAAAAATAACCATCAAACCCTATCATATTAAAGAACACAATAGAGAATTTCCATGTTTACATATGTCCCTTTGATTGATGAAAATTTGTAGCCCAAGCGGATTATTTTAAAGGGGTTCCGTTCTCTGAGCTGGATGGATTAGCTGTGAGACTTTTATTGTTCTTCTGAACAAGATGAGCGCAAACCTCAGGTTCATGTGACATATTCGAACTTATCCATCTTTGATTGATGTTAAAAGACTGATTCAATTTATCAATAAATTAGAAATGTCATGTATAAATGTACGATCAAGAGCCATGTCAGAGAGCGACAATTAGAACAAATATGAAGACGACAGGTTAAAAACCCACTTCTACCTGACGTTTGTGCTGATGATGTTATTCAGAAGAACACTGAAGGCTTTCCGGTTAAGCAATCCAGCCCAGAGAATGAAGTTCCACCAGAGTCCTTTGGAACTGAATATCATTTTTCTAAAACCTTTCCAGCCCAATGATTATATATTTTTTTCACTTGAAATATTTTCCATGATTATCTAAGTGATCTCAAATGAGTGGTCAAGTATCATGATATTTTATAGATAAAAGCATTTTATAAATGCACTGCTAAAACAGATAACCACTATGTCCATTGTAATTGTTTTTAACGTGTATCCAATTAAGATACGGTTAATGGATTTGGATGCCAATGTCCAATAGTTATTAGCATCACCTCTCTATTTATATCCGCCTAAACAACAGTCTATAATGTCACAAATCTATGATGTCATTATACGCTTAAACACTTCATACCAACATTGGTATTATCATTCAAGATTGTAAACAGTGTTGATTAATTTTTTACCAAGGCGTAATGAAATAATACAAAGGTAATATAAAGTGCAACAGATAAGCAACAAGAGTTGTGTGGTTTTATTAACTCAGGATAAGTAATAACAACTACAATCAGTTATTTATGCTGCAACTTTGATAAACCCGTTTTCATAACATCATGAGATTGAAAGACTATAAAATACCATTGATGGCATAGTAAACTTCAATAGATTATACCTGATATCGTTTTCTACAATATAAAAGTTGCAAAGCATGTAAACTCACTTTACTGCAATAAACAAGCTGTTTGATGATGAATGAACAGATATTTGAACTATATGACTCTTCTTTGGGAAAGTAAAACTCTTATGTGTTGACATCCATTTAGGATGAGAAATGAAATCTGTAGGATGAAAACAAAATATAGTTATGTCGATAAGTATGGAATTTATATGGCAAATGAAAAAAGCACAAAATAAATCCGAAAACGGTTTTGATGATTAGTAGTAGATATTCGAATCACAGAAAAGATTGTATCGCATAAAAAGCACAGTATTACACACGCTTATTATCCATACGTCTACAAATAGGAGTGATTTTAAATACCTGGTAAACGATCGTTTCATAATCTTGGAATTTATTTTCGTTACTTTAAAGTATAAATTATTAGGCACATATATTTTAGTAATTTCAATAGTCGAAATCATGAGTCAATTGAAGCTAGACCACCATGGAAAACCTGGAAGCACTGGACGGCCGTTTCGTCCTAGTATGGGACTCCTTAGTTGATCACTGATGATATTTAATATGTTGATTATTCAGCTATTCATATTTAATGTGAAACTTGATAGCCTGGACCGAATTCTTATATTCTAATGATTAGAAATTCATAAGAGAATAAGCAAATCTTCAAGAATGTGAGTTATTGAATCAAAGTCAGGGAATACCGTACAACTTACGTCTTGTAAACCTAAGATTAGTATATAAGAGACATCCGTTATTGATTAATTTCTGTAAAGCTTTTGTTCATTTATGATTTATAATTAAGTAAATTCATAAGAAGTTGATTGCATTGTCTTTGTGTGTTTAAGCACATGAAGAATAAATCGTCTCATCTTACAAATACTACTTTAACTTTTCCTGCTAGTTTAGATCAGATAAGCTTTTGTTGCCTGCTAGTATTATCTTCTGAAAGTTTTTACAATTCTATCTTAAGAAAAATATGCACAATAGACTTTTCAAATATTTCAGTTGATGCAGATTATTAAATGCATTGAAGCACATATTTCAAATATGTACAACATTGGTAGTATTTACTTAACGAATTCTTACAAAATAGTGTTTTAATTGTGTAATAACAATAATTATTGATTTGTTTCTTTTTCTGAAATCCATTTACCATGTTTTTATAATATTGTGTCAAGAAATCATTGAAGCTGAACAGTTCAGTAAATTTTTACCATCTAATACAAATTTGAATACTCCTTATTTCTAAAATATACAAATCAGAATAAAATATTTGAATTGTGGATTGATTAAAGTTAGACATTAACACAGTTAGATGTTGGCTCAGTGGTTTGGAGCTTAAGCGTTCTTATATGAGGTCCTGGGTTTAGGTCTCACATATGGGATCGTGGGTGCGCACTCTTGAGGAGTCCCATAATAGAACGAAACAGCCGTCCTATGTTTCCAGGTATTCAATGATGATCTAACTTAGATCGACTGATGAATTCAATTATTAAATAAAATATTTCTAACAAATATCCATTTGATACGTATCGTATAGTTTATTATTAAAAAGTTATTTTATTGATAATACTGAACATTGGTATGTGTGACAAATTAGTTATACATAGAAAAGAAGATAAAAAAATAATGGTGATTTACAACATAAACAAATCGAATGATTGTTTTACACTAATGACTATATCGATAATTACGGTGATCACAATACTTATAAATCAATATTCTATTCGCCTTTCATGCATACACATAGACACTAACACGTATACAAACAGAAATTTACACAGGTAAAATATGAGCTTGGAATTTAATTTTTGTTTATTGATTTATTATACTAATATTACTATATAGATTACTAATATAATCTATTTAAAGCATTATTACAGCATTCAATGTAGAATACGATTAGTAATAGTGTAAAACAAAAACAAACAATGTTAGTGATAATTAAACAATTGATGTTTAAACTCTTGAATAACATCAGTTACTACTTGATAATTATGGATTACTATTCCAGTACCATTATTAACAGCCTTCTGTGGGAGAGAACAAACCAGATGCCAGCTGAAGAGAAAATTAGCAAAAGACGATGGAAATGGATAGGACATACATTACGCAAATCATCAAACTACATCATGGGGCAAGCCCCAACTTGGAATCCTGAAGGTAAGAGGAAAAGCGGAATACCAAAGAACACATTACATCGGGAAGCAGAAGAAGATATGAAAAGGATGAATAACAACTGAAAAGAGCTGGGAAGAATTGCCCAGGACAGGGTTGGATGGAGAATGCTGGTGAGCAGCCTATGCTCCTTCACGATGAGTAGCAGGCGTACGTAATTACTATCCCAGTTGTAAGAGATTATTTATTCGCAATGCAAATTTAATATAAGTTTGTTTAAAAGAATTTCTTTTATTGCACTTCAGGAGCATTTGCTTATGACATATTATAGGTTCATATGTATTAATCTAATTATTAGAAATCAAAACCGACTTCAGAAGGGTAACGTATATTACTTTGACTAACTTTTATAATGTTGACTAATTCTTGATACAATGTTATTTATCGTTGAATTTGTTAAATGCTGTTATTATTAAGATAATGAAGATTTGTAGTTCAAGTGGATGATTTTAGTAGAGTTTCATTTTTTAATTTAGATGGTTTAATCATGTTACCATTGTATATTGCTGAATCAAACTAAAGATAACGAATTTTCATTTAAAAGTCATTGGAATGTTAAGAGAGAAACTCCTAATTAACAATAAATAGCTTTCCAGAATTAGGTAGTTATAATCTTGTGATGAAATCTAATTTTGATGGAGCTTTCATCGTTCTTCTGAACGACATCAACACAAACTTCAGATAGACTTCTATCTAAAGTTTGTGCTGATGTCGTTTAGAAGAAAGATGAAAGCTCCACGACCAAACCATCCAGTTCGGAGAACAAAACTCCATCAAAATCATCCACCTGAGCTACAAATCTTCTCCACCATCTCGAAATCTAATTTCCCAAATCATCAGGATCCTCGTAAGAAATGTAAAATAACAAGCGATCAAAGTAATTGAATATTATTATTATATTCCATAAGGTTATGTAAGAATAACCAAACTCAATTACAATTAAATGTAGCTACTCTTAGTTAAATTTCATTAAATTTTGAATGATTCCTATTTGTTGTACTTTCTTCAAATGGTAACTAAAATTGGTTAGCTGCATGAACTTTTGACGTGCTCTACAAAGTTTCAGCAGAATTTGTTTATTAAAATGAAAAGATTTAATATATAAAGTTACTTATAGAAAAAGAGTGAAATTAAAATATTTTCGAAAGTGAAAATGAATTAAGTAGCAATTCTCAAACTAATAAATGACATAGTGTATTTATAATGACACTAAAATATAAAAAGAAGAGTGAATGAAATTTATTCATAAATAAAAAGATAGCAAAGTGTAAAATCTTGACTTCTGGCTTAATTGGATATATATGTATGTTTCATTAAGTTTGAACCAAGTTATATGATGCATATCTGAGGTAAAACATTAGTAACAACAACTTCTACAGAACGTTACATTCTGAAACAACTTTATACAAATCAAAAAGTTACATTTTGATCGTTTGTGGAAACTTGGTTTATTTCTATTGTAGGATAGTTAAAATGTAGATTCAGCGTGAGTTAGGTTAACAGAGTTCGGTTTGTATTTGTCATTATCAATGCCTCAATGAAATAATTTAGTGTTTTTCGTATTTTATCACTTTTTTGGGTCATCCCTCATACTCAAGAGATTGAGTACTATTTCTATTTGTCATTATCAACATCTTCAGAAAAGTTAAATTACTGCCTAGATATCTTTTTAGCTATCTTTTGTGGAGGATGATAGTAACTGGAAAAAATGTTTCCAATCATTCATGAATTATTTTCAAGTAAGTTATAATTCAATATTCTTAAAATATAAGTGGTAATATAAACTGTTGTTTTAGAAGTAGTCATGTTCATAATTTAGGCACAATTTTCTCACTCCCATCAACTTATTAACTGAAAACCAATTCTGGAAAGTTCAAAAACGCCATGGTGAGATTAAAAGACAATATTAATGAGGATGCTTAGGTTCTAACAAAAAAGTCCAATGTTTTTAGATTTCCCACAGTTGCCTAGGTGATAATCATTCAATATAACTAACGAGATATTGACAAACCAAACAACTAGAAGCGATCACGGCTCATCATTGGGTATATGAAGTCAGAAGTAAAACACGGTTCATTATTCTTTAAAAATAAAGCAATGAACCTAACTACAAATCTGTAATATGATTTCAAAGATAAAAAATATTTGGAAGTTGATAAGGCAGAATCTTCCTACCACTTGGAATTTCAGAGTAAATGACATCAGTCGATGTGTGAAAAGGAAATTATCAGGCAGAAATAATTGTGTTGAAGAAGAGATTTAACAGCAATATCATAAAAAATTGAGTATATTATCTCTGTACACAGAACTCACTGATTAAATGGTAGCATATTGTTTACTCACAAATTCAACAAATTTGTTGCTTATAAACATTTTAATTTAATTTTTATAGATAAACATTTAGATCGTAAATTGATCAATGTTAAACGACCAGTGAAAAACAAGAAAAAATGGACGGCCATCTTATTTTACTGTGAGACTTCTCAACAGATCAATGATATTTGATATGGTTTTTATTACAGAATCTCTAACAGTGCAAAAGTTGTGCTATCCTAACAGGATTTTCAGGTGACTTTCGCATCCAAAATTAAGGTTAATAATTTAACAAAAACTGGTCAGGCCTTCATTTTTTTATAAAAAAGAAATCGTTACTATTTCATAAACCAGCCATTTTTCATCGTTTTGTTTCAATGATAAATATAAGACGCTAAATTAATGATCAAAAATGATTTTCATATTTCATTAAAGGAAAATATACATATGGATGCTTTGTAAACTATAGTCAGGTACTTCGTACTTCAATAAAAATTCGATCTTAGATTACTAGTAATGCATTTCATAAAACTTGTGAAATCTATGATATTTTTCCATAATAAGAATTATCAATATTTTCAATGGACTTAACAAATATGTAAGGTGTAATCGAAATTGAATTAAGGAACAGTTTTTTTAATTTATTTTGATTACATACATTAAAAAAATATATTGACAAGTGAATATTTTAAATGAATAAAATCAATTCATTTAAATGATTAGTGAGATTGTAGTGAAGATCGAATGAACGTATATATATATATATATATATATATATATATATATATATATATATATATATATATATATATATATATATATATATCAATATAGAGGTTGTAGAGATTATTAAGTTTTTAATTGAGATCATGAACTGATTGATGTTAGACCACCGTTGGAATCTCGGAAGCACTGGACGGCGGTTTTGTTCTATTATGGGACTCCTCAGCAGTGCGCATCCACGATCCCGTTCATGATCTCAATCAAGAATGTATATATAGTTAAACCTACCAGAGTGAATGAAAAAAATAACTGAAGTCAATAATAATGTTAACTTATCACTTCTAAATTCTATTTAGCTGACCATACGCCTTTTTTTTTAGGGAATCCTTCGGTCTGCTACAATAGTCATATATTATTAAAAATAGAAAAGTTTTGATATAATCTACACAAGTGCTTTTTGTACTACAAAAACATTGTTGGATTATGTATAAAGTTAACAGATAAACAAAAAAATTAACTAAATCTGATTATGAATAATTTTTTTCAAAAAAATAGAGTAGATTACAACATTCATTATAAGTATAACACCGAAATCCTTCATAAGATTGACATCCAAATCTAAATGAATGGATTCAACCAATTGGAATAGTTAGGATCAGTGTAATACAATATACATAGAAAGTTGCTTATGGATAAATAAGGGAAAAACTTTGTTATCATTTTTCATATCTACTTATACTTTAATCACTATAGTCATCGATAAAGATCTTTTTAATTTTCTTAAAAATAATCCACACTATCAAATTTATGTTAAACATTAAATTATCAGCATAGAGTTGTGGAGATAATTAAGTTATTGATTGAGATCATGAATTGATTGATGTTAGACCACCATTGAAAACCTGGAAGTCGTGCACATCCACAAGCGCGAGCAGGATCATGGATTTCAGGTATTTAATCGTGGTCTAACATTAATCGGTTCATGATCTCAATCAATTATCATTAAATTATTTAATGAAATGAAATAAAATAGCTTACCATCAATATAAATTATTTTATAATTTGGTACATTGAAGTTCAATGATTCTATTTTGAATAAAATAGATTCAAAAATTATCAGTATGTATAAATAATGAATAAATAGTTTAGGATATTTCATTGATGAAATAATAATTATTTATATGTTATCTTTTAGACAAATAAATAAATAAATAATCCTTTATATTTTGCTTAAAATTTAAAATGGTTGAATACAATATGTTGTCATGACAAATATCACAGATATATCATCATTTTGAAACTATTGGATTTTTTTTGTATAAAACAAAATATCTTTAATAAATCCTTTGAAAAAACTTCCATATCCTTTGTATTGACACTTATAAAGTGTTTTGTAACAATTAAGCATAGATTAATCTTTATATATGAGAATAAATAAGAATATAAACATACCTATTCATACACATATACAAATATCTTAACCAATAGGTTTTGAGATTATGTCACAGATTCTTTTAAAATTATGGCGTATATCACATACTACTTCAACTTTAAAAAATCAAAGAGGAATGTGTATTGAATAGTCAAACTTTAGATCTATCACTTGAATAAAAAGAAAAACTAGATTCCTTGAAAAAAGTTATAAAAAAAAATAAAAAAAGAATTCGTTTGTTTAGTAGAATTTTTTCAACTATTAAATCATTCCATCTGTCTTTAAACAAGTATCTCAGTTTCATTCACATAGGTTTGATGTTTATTGGTATGTGGAGAGTAATAGTAAATAACCTAAAGAGAGTTCCAACTGGAGCTGAATAAATGAAAAGTAATTCACCTCAACAAAAAGGAAAATATTCACATTTGATGATGATTATTGTTAAACATTAAGAACTTAGAAAATTTCAAAGTAGTCACTCATTAAGTTCTCGATTGATAGATCAGCGACAAATGATTTGATTTAAGTCATGAAGATTCTCAGTGCTGTTCTGAAGTGTTCCTAAGTAGGAGAAAAAGCAAAGACGTTACTATTTCCCCCATAGTTCTTAGACTTACCTTCATTGAATAATTTTCCGATATTTTCCCAATAATTATAGTCGGTTTGTTATGTATTACGATTTTACTAATTACCTGTTAAATACGAGATAAGATTGGTATTTACCAGTCTTTGTACAACACCTTGAATTTTGCTTGATAACAGATTAGTTTAATCTCTTACCATATATCCCATTGGTTTAAATAGTGAAAACATAACGATAACATTGGTTTCAATATCCAACACCAAGGACTTTCACTCTGTAAAAACCTAACACCAGTCTTACTGGTCATGATATCTACTGTTGAAATTGGCTTTACTCTGTAACTCTAAAATTTATTCCTTACGTAATGTTAGCATTATATTATATACATTAAAATCTTCGAAATAACTCTCGATAAATGTATGCCTTGTTTACACGAGTTACAACTGATTTTCTGCTTTTGTCATTAAACGCAAGTTCATAGACTTATCGTTTAGCTCTTCACGCAATACTGCCTGACAAACGATAGATTATCAATCTGAAGGCATTTAACTATTCTATGTATATAACCGACTAGCATGTCTTTGGAGTCAGATCAAGTCATTTGTTGTTCCCTGTGTTCGAAAACTATTCGCTTTCCAACTGTATGCATAAATCCATATCTTTTTCAAGGAATAATCATTCTTGTCATCACGGTGTCACAGAATAAGGCTCAAATTTTTCATCGGTTTTACTGGCAGTAAGATACAAATCTAAGAAGTACATTAAGTCTACCGTGTTTAATTAGGATGTCCCGCAACTTTGTGATTTGCATAAAATAATTATTTTTAGGTTAGTTAATGTAGCCCATCGAAAACGATTGAATAAGTATTGTAAAAATATCTGTTTTAGCGTTGACTGGGTAACAGATATGTTGTCAGCACTAAAAAATGTAATATCTCTGTAACACCATTTATGTGTGTGTATTAATATGTGTGGGCAAATCTCTGTTGTATGTTTTCTAAATGACAGTAACTCTTATTTTGAATTAATATTAAAGATACCTATCTGACTTGATTCATCGCTGTGTATCATGTTTATTTTCTGACCCAAAGTAAGGTCATTACTCATATTTACTTATTACTGGGATTTTTTTAGTTTTGTGATTTCCATTTCACGATATTTCATTGGCCGCACTCATTTTCCTACACTTAACTTCTCATTTTGGCCCCGTCAGACTAATTTAATGTGCTCGATTGTTTAAATTTGAGTCAATTAAACTAGTCTGTTCCTTGGGGATCGAAATGTACTTCTCGTTCGTTAAAATCGTTCATTCTCTTAAGTAAGTAATTAATTTTATATTACATTGCAAATTATCTAATTGCCATCTTATAGTTCATTTTTACCGAGAATGTGGTATACAAATTGGACTGTTCAGCGATTCTGGGTCTTATGTATATCTTATACTCACCGTTTGTTAAGTTAGCACTACTGTTGTACTTTGCTCTACTGGCTGTTCTAAGCTCGTCTCTGAGTGATTCTGTGGTGTTTGTGTCCAATAATTATCCCTTCGTACTTTACTCCATGCCTTTTATGAATTTCAAATACGATGCTTTTAGTTGTGTTCATTAATTTCTGTCTAGGAATTCCTAGTTAACATACCAATCTGACTACTTTTAACTTTCATAGATCCTCCGTTATACAGAACACTCTCAAGTTCTAGGAACTCTATAACTAATAACGCCAACGAATATTTGATGATGGCCTTTCGAAACAGATGTTCCTCAGAAAACACTACACTAAATACCAGTAACCGTTGTTGGAAAATTGATTAAGTTTGTAGACTGACGCATAAGTCACTGAGAAAGCCATGCCAAAAATAACAGAGTAGTCCCAAGTGTGTATAGCGGGAATTCGGAGTTTGTACACATAGTTTGTGGTGACTTACTTCCATCAACAGAACGCGATTGGTGTAATGGAAACAATTATTATTATAACCAAGTGTACCAGTGATTGTTTTACTGTGTTTGTTTGTTTAACTGTACTAAAGAAATCCATACTTCTTATGTTGACTGCGACCTTGTACGCACGTACGCTCGCCCAGTGATTCCACTTGTATTTCCTTCGGCATGATCTCGGTATACTTTCGATACCACGAGATCGCCAACGAATAAATCTGGTTACAACCTTCATTCGCCTCCTGATTTTCTGGTACGCGCTCTTCTTGTAGTGGTGTTCATAGTCAACCGCAACTCGACGCCACGCTATAAGTTCATGTGCTTTCTGAAAAGTAAAGGATATTTCAGTAAGTCTTGGTTATATGTGCACTAGCGAATGATTATCAGTGTTCAACTGAAGGACGGTAGTAGTTACTATTTAAGTTGAGAAGAGCGTTGGTCTGATTTGAAATTTACGTAAAGTAATGTACTTTATATGGCAGATTTCTTTGACGCTAATGTCAACTCTTACATATGCAGTATTTCGAAGACAGACAAAAGGAGGACAATAAGTGGTGAAAGGAACAATATGTATGACATGATATTGTGACAGAACTGTAGTGGTAAAGAAATCCCCAAAATAGATAATTCTATAACGCGTCGACATTGATGCTGACCTCATTAATCTTGCTGGACACACCTTAGCTGAGAGGGCTTGGTTACCCATTAGCACCATATCACATCGTACCACGCAGCCATTGCAACTACTAACGAGCTTATATCAAACGCTTCTCAATGTATGGTCAATCTTCCAAATATATATTCGTACCTCTCTATCTCTGAATTTTAATTTGTCTAGGTTTAGGATCTTTAGATTATAAAGGTGATACGGAAAAAGACGTTGTCAAACCCTCAATATCTCTTAAAACTTCAGCTGAATATGAAACTGCTAGGGTGGCAATTCGGGGAATTATCACACACTCACTCAGATGCCTGATCGGTCGCACTGCAGCTTCCTGCGGTATAATTGAAGTTCAAAAACTAACGTGCAGCATCTCGATTTTGATTGCTATTATAATTGTCATTTCCATTACCATCTCGTGAACATTATGGAATATAATTTAACAATATTAACAACGAAAAATGACGACATAATGCATATGATTCGTATATTAATCGGTTTTAGTGATTTGATCCCGTATTATAGTATCGAATTGTTTGTTGTTCTCTTTACTACTATCAACTTGTTTTAATCATATATATAAACACTGACTTATTCGTATGTTCATCGTCGCTTTTAAACAGATAATCAGATAAAGATAAATCAGCCCTTTACAAAACACGACCATCAGTACTGTTAATTTATCTATCACACCTTTTAATGTTACTAACCCGAAAACCTGAATCATTAGGCTGTAAAATTATCTTGAAGTTAACCGTATTTAGACACGGAGATTTAAATTTGGCTACGCAAATTAACTCTCACCAGGCGAAGTAACAGTGGGTATACGTGGTGTTCAAATCAGATAAACTGCATGTAATAAGACAAGCAACAGTCGAACCAGTTTCATTAACTGACTGACTTTCCAATTAGGCGGAAATTGGCAATAGAAGCCCAACCATGTGAAACGTTTTGCGGAGGATGAGAAGGTAAGCATTGTATTATTCTACCCATTGCTGCTCCACTGACTGTCGCCCAACATACAAAAGACTGTGACGATTGGAAACAAGGGATTCAGACGAATAGAAAACGGAATCTGTGACAGAACAGTGCAAATGAGTCTCTCTGTACATAAAACGATAGTAGACGACAAAATCTTCACGTTAAATAAACAAGGGATATCCTCACTTCCGAAATTGACCAAGTTGACACAGAACGACAGACCCCAAAAAAGGTCACAGGGCAGGTCGTATACCATAATTCTATCACTCCCAAAAAAACACAACTCACCAGGTATGCTGGTATCGTTATATGCGTGGTAGAAAATCCACGAGATATAGGTTTAAGGCGAGATGACCAGGAAGCGATATAACTGATCGTTGGTGACGACTGCCACGTCCGACGTAACTTCAATAGATGGTCGTGTCTTTTACATACAGAACCAAGTGACGAGCTCACAGTTCTTAGTTGGCTCGAAAAATGACACCAGTGTTGTGTGGCTCTTAAAAGTAAGGAGGGGGAATGTTAGTACGTACTGATACTAAGAGCAGCAGATGTGAGATATAAGAAA